ACACACACACAGACACACACAACACACATCACACACACACACACCCTCACAATCATCACACACAGACACACACTCACAATCATCACACACAGACACACACAATCATCACACACAACACACACACACATCACACAGACACACCCTCACAATCATCACACACAGACACACACCCTCACAATCATCACACACAGACACACCCTCACAATCATCACACACAGACACACCCTCACAATCATCACACACAGACACACCCTCACAATCATCACACACAGACACACACACAACCATCACACACAGACACACCCTCACAACCATCACACACAGACACACCCTCACAATCATCACACACAGACACACACACAACCATCACACACAGACACACCCTCACAACACGGCATCACACACAGACACACCCCTCACAACGGCATCAACAGACACACTAACACTCTCACCTATCTAACCTGACACAGAACACTATCTTTAACGGCCTTCGAGAAGCATCAACCTGACCTCCATGTCGGCAATAACACATCTTTGAACCAGTCAACCTATCTAACCTGACCTCCATGTCGGCAATAACACGGCTATCTTTGAACCAGGCTTCAACCTATCTTAACCTGACCTCTATGTCGGCAATAACACGGCTATCTTTGAACCAGAACCTATCCTAACCTGACCTCCATGTCGGCAATAACACGGCTATCTTTGAACCAGTCTTTAACCTATCCTAACCTGACCTCCATGTCGGCAATAACACGGCTATCTTTGAACCAGTCTTCAACCTATCCTAACCTGACCTCCATGTCGGCAATAACACGGCTATCTTTGAACCAGTCTTTAACCTATCCTAACCTGACCTCCATGTCGGCAATAACACGGCTATCTTTGAACCAGTCTTTAACCTATCCTAACCTGACCTCCATGTCGGCAATAACACGGCTATCTTTGAACCAGTCTTCAACCTATCCTAACCTGACCTCCATGTCGGCAATAACACGGCTATCTTTGTCCAGTTTCCATGTCGGCAATAACCTATCCTAACCTGACCTCCATGTCGGCAATAACACGGCTATGTATTAACCATTCGGCTTAACACCTATCCTAACCTGACCTCCATGTCGGCAATAACACGGCTATCTTTGAACCAGGCTTCAACCTATCTTAACCTGACCTCCATGTCGGCAATAACACGGCTATCTTTGAACCAGTCTTTAACCTATCCTAACCTGACCTCCATGTCGGCAATAACACGGCTATCTTTGAACCAGTCTTTAACCTATCCTAACCTGACCTCCATGTCGGCAATAACACGGCTATCTTTGAACCAGTCTTTAACCTATCCTAACCTGACCTCCATGTCGGCAATAACACGGCTATCTTTGAACCAGTCTTTAACCTATCCTAACCTGACCTCCATGTCGGCAATAACACGGCTATCTTTGAACCAGTCTTTAACCTATCCTAACCTGACCTCCATGTCGGCAATAACACGGCTATCTTTGAACCAGTCTTTAACCTATCCTAACCTGACCTCCATGTCGGCAATAACACGGCTATCTTTGAACCAGGCTTCAACCTATCCTAACCTGACCTCCATGTCGGCAATAACACGGCTATCTTTGAACCAGTCTTTAACCTATCCTAACCTGACCTCCATGTCGGCAATAACACGGCTATCTTTGAACCAGTCTTTAACCTATCCTAACCTGACCTCCATGTCGGCAATAACACGGCTATCTTTGAACCAGTCTTTAACCTATCCTAACCTGACCTCCATGTCGGCAATAACACGGCTATCTTTGAACCAGGCTTCAACCTATCCTAACCTGACCTCCATGTCGGCAATAACACGGCTATCTTTGAACCAGTCTTTAACCTATCCTAACCTGACCTCCATGTCGGCAATAACACGGCTATCTTTGAACCAGTCTTTAACCTATCCTAACCTGACCTCCATGTCGGCAATAACACGGCTATCTTTGAACCAGTCTTTAACCTATCCTAACCTGACCTCCATGTCGGCAATAACACGGCTATCTTTGAACCAGTCTTTAACCTATCCTAACCTGACCTCCATGTCGGCAATAACACGGCTATCTTTTGTCGACAGTACACGACGGATTAGATGACTATGTGTTATTTTTCGTGTTCTTACATAGGTCTTGACGCTATAGCTGTCTATTGCTCTCTGAGGTTTTGGGTTTCTCCACATTCCGACATGTTTTATTGTTGCATTTTGGTATCTAGTTATAGTTTAGAACTAGTGAAATGAGTAAGGTAGGGCGGACCAGCAGATGAAGGAGGAGGATTCCACTTTCCCAGGGTTTAGAAACAAGTAGCAATCCACCCTAGTTCAATCTCCATTGGTATCCTGGGGATCCTATTGTATGTATTGTGTAGTTATTCCTAATTTAGTTATTGTCATTCATACACTACAACGATTACAATGGAGTAGCCACAAGGATATGGACGGAGCCCAACTGTAGGTAAAACAGCCCCCGTATTGGCACTCTCGTTGTCTATACCGTCAAATATATATAGATTGAAGGCGGAATTATTGGAATAGTCCAAAACTTACGTATAACAAAATAAGAAACATTTCATAACCGACAATTTACGACATTCAGTTAAAACCTTGATGAGCTTGAATTGACTATTCTTCTTGGAAGAATTATGCGGTTTTCAAAATAAAAATGTATGAAATGCTATTGGAAAAGCTTAATTTACTATTCTGCAAGGGAAATGTAGCGTTATCGAATTCACAAAGATTCAGGGTAACTTTTGCATTCCTTTCACATGTGTGTGTTTTTTAAATCTACTTTACTCTATTAAATCTCACTGCTCTTCTATTCTCTTATCGTTTTTTCCAGTCAATCCGTCCATCCGTCGATATTTGCGTCCTTGCGTGGGTGTAAAACAAATTACACAATAGCACTTGAATTCCGTGACACGCTGACCTTGTATTTATACCACATTATCACACCATCAATTTCTACGCCTGATTAGAGTTTTGTGATCATCAGTCAATGTAAAAGGCCAAACTTTAACATTTGGTTTAGTGTTGCTTTTACGTCCTGTTAACCGCCACGGTCATTTAAAGACGTGCCAGGTTTGGACAGAGGAAACCTGGAGTTTCCGGACAAAAACCAGTTACCTGCGGTTAGTACCTGGCAACTCCTTCACGTAGGCCCCTAACCCTCGACCCGGAACTTATATTCCAATACCAATCTTGTTATCAGGATAATACACAATCATATAGCTTAACGTCAAGTTCCTAACATGGTTATTAGATTTTGGGTCTCATTGGTCGAGCTTAAGGTGACACTTAACGGTAACTTCGACAGCGGTCAAATGATAAGCGGTCAAACTTGACTTTTAAACTTTAACCTGTACTGATGACCAACAAAAGCCAATCAGGTGAATCAACCTTATAGTTAGGATTATTTTTTCAAAAACATCATCCCATGAAAGCCTCAACAGATCTAGATCATATTCATGGCCACTATACAAAGCTAGTAGTTCAGTAGTTTATATTCACATAATAATATACGAAAGTTCTACACAGTTCACTTCAGTTCTCATTGGTCGAGTTTATATGGACAAATGTCACACTGGACAACTTTTGAACAAAAATATCATTAATGTAAAATATCAATCCTTAAGCATATGCAAAATATTTCTGCAGCTTACTGACACACGAAAAATAGACATTGTTTATTTTTGTTTTTCAAAAATAGAAATAAGGCGGTTTTTCGGTCTCGCGAGAATTCAACTTTAAATCAATGTCATCTTGATTATGATAATACATCTTTTCTTAGCGATCACATCTAGAATTCAACAAAAAAACTCTAAGTCACTTTAAAGCTATCATATTTATTTTACAACCTGCATGTCGAAAAGATGTCGCCACGACCACGTAAATAAAGTAAAATTGAGGGCGAGATTAAGAAATATCGTTCGATACAAGAATTTGTCTTTCCTATGTACAGTACTATGTTTTGCATAGTGACATGAAATCGAGGCTATAAACAACATGGCGTCCTAACGTGCACTTGCTGTAAAAGTTTAAACTAGAAAGGTAAATGTGAGCTTCGTCACTACGGAGTTTTTATATCATTGATTAGTACATAAAGGCGTTGAAATGTTAGACCATGACATATTTATATATAATGTTTTGAATAGCCGGTATGTTTCCATTTCAGTATCACTTCGATGTCGATGATATCCGATGTTTGGTACGCTATATGTAATCACCTTACTTTACATGAGTTTGTCTTTACCATCACCTTAGATAGTCATTTGCTAGAGTATACATATGATTTGATATATATGAAGTGAGTTGTAGAATTGGCCGTGTACATTACAAATCAGTAATGCATTTTGTTTTTAATTTAGAGCTTATTCACAATCTAGAGAAATCAAAGATGTCGGTTAACGAACGTTTGGTACAAAATGTACGATAAATTACGGGGGAATGTCGTTTCGGTACCAGGTTGTTTTGGTTCTTCAAAGAATAAGTCGTTTTGGCACATTCAAAATAGTTTGATTTATGCATTTAATTAGGATTTTTAAGGTGTGTTGTCATGAACAAATATTACTCTTTCCATTACTAAAAACTGTTCATTCAAAATAACACTCTTGCTGTGTAAACGATGTTCCCAAAATGACATTTGTAAGTATCGAAACAACTGGATGCTGAACCAACTTGGTACCAAAATGACTAGAATTCACTCACCATCCAACATATGAAATAAGCACTGCCTAGCTAATTGTGAGTGCATTGGGATTTTCTCACATTTAATGTAGACATTCTGAGTAAAACTGTAATTTTTTTATGAGAGATATCAATAATTGCAATTTTTGGCATTAGTTTCAAATTATTAACATATATGTTAGGTTTGAATTAGTTCAGATTTTAACAATACTTACAGAGTTTGACAGTCCAAACTTTTTAATATGCTGGTTTAATTGTAATTTTATGTGGAAATGTTCCAGGCAGGATGTCGCGAAGTGTGGCATGGCGACGAACATGTAATGATCTAGTCAACTGGCGCCAGACTGAAGCTCTCAATGCCACCATGTACATCCTGCGAGAGACTGGCCCAACTGGCTTTCTGCTACAGGAGGAAGGCGAGTCAAAACCCTACAAGGTATGGTACCATATGACAATAATCGGGTACATTGCATAATCAGGCAGTCGGCCCTTGTCTTTTATCTTTGTATTTCTACATTAATAGCGACAAATATAGTTATTTGTCAAGTAATAATATCAATCCTCCTATTTAAATCAGAGATGTGTTAACCCCTGGACTTATTACAGGAGAGATATGCTAACCAATATTCAAAGTGTTCTAGCTATCTTTCTGTGATTTTCTGTTTGTCTTGGTTGTGCTTGATAGACTTTTGACTGTGACCAAGACAAAAACACAATTATGGATAGATAGTTGGAACCCCTTCAGACTAGTTAGCGAAGTAAACATTTACCACTTTCACAAATATCAAATGGGTGGAAATCAAGCTAATCTATCAAATTCATGTTGTGTTAATTACTTGTCATAATAGGTTAGATATGTTGATCAGAACATTCTTCCCATTAAGTACCAGGACACTGTTAATAGTTTCTACAATATTCAACAATACATTTTGTTGTGTTAGAAGAAATCTTTAGTCATATGTGTAATATATTGTTGATCTCTGCATAATGAGATGATGTAAATGTGACTGCAGTTTTAGTATGTAAAGAAAGTTGTCCTGATGAAGCCAAACACATACAGATAAGGTGAAATGAATGAATCAAGTAAAATGTAGATAGGTAATCCCAATTCTGTTTTGATTGATTCACATTTACACTTACCCTGGATGTATCAATCCATGCTTTTTCTCAGTGTGAGGTTTTCTTGTCTCACACTGAAACAGGGTACACATGCTCTTTATACACTAGAAAAATTGAAGTGACACCACTGACATAACCCACTAGTAGAACCACTTCTATGAGGTCACAGACATATACTTTTTTCATCTGCTACAGAAATCTTGTGTTATCCACAAAATGGAAAATCCTATGTTATCATCACAACTTATTATCAGAAATATATGTAAAATACCAAGAGTATAATTTTATTTGACATTTATTGACTCGTTCAGTAGAATTATATTATGTGTAACATTTAATCACATTGTGTGAAACGACTGTGGTACAGAAGTCGTCACTGTTCATATGCCGTCCACATGTCTTTTGATTACACACAATATGCTTCATCTTGCACTTGGACAAGGAAAACTGGGTAAGAGAAAAACAATCATTCACCCTCTTTAGGGTGAGATAGGGGGATCTCAACCCTCAGGGGAAGCCTAGTGTTTGACAACATAATAATCTCCCCCTCTGGTTGAGATCCCCCTATTTCACCTTAAACAGAGTCAAAGATTCTATCATTCTGATTCAACCATTCATCAATTCCTTGCTAACCTTAGATGATCCAGGCAAGGATCTACCATGGTATAAATTCACTGCTCAATTACTACAGCTTTGGTTCCATCTCTAACCAAAGAAAGCAATGATGGTGTCAAGCTGAGCATAAAAAAGTGTCAGAAAGGATGAAGATGTAACCATAAAAGTTTTTTTCAATTCAGAATTTAACTTTTACTAAATTCTCTTTTTAACTCATAAGAGTTTTCAGGTTAAAGTAGTCATACAGAATTTTACAAATAAGTCATCATCAAAATCTCAAAAAAGTTAAAAATGATAATTTTCTTAGAGAAACTGTTAAGAACTGACCGTTATTGGTTGCAGGCCTACCTGGGGGACCCCCACACATGTACCTGTCCTCAGTTTAAGAAGGACAGAGATCTGTGTAAACACATATGCTGGCTGCTGCTCAAGAAGTTCAGGGTGCCACAAAATGATTCCAGTAAGCATGATTTTAGGATTGGTGTGTGATAATGAATAAATTCTACAATTATTAGAGATGTCAAAGTGGTCAGTTTTCAACCAGAAACAGCACTTTAACAACAAATGTTAGATGTGATAAGCCAATGTTTAAAATGTATTTACATTATGTACCACCTGATAGTAAACTCATAATTCTGTAACCCAAAATACCAGAGGCTCTAACATCTGTGGAGAGCATTGGGCAGATTAAAATGGAATATAAATATGATATACTGGTAATAGGTATTACCAATTGAGATACATAAATAACATCCCTTCATATGTAATTGGTTCTGTTAGGAAAAAAACATGGATATTTTGGTGGTGCATTGTATTCGAGAAGCCTATCCGTTTGCAAGGCAGGTGTAAGTAAATTGCAATGCTGTAAATTTATAGAAAATTTCTGCTTTGTTTGTAAAGATATTCTATACAATCATACTCACAGAATTCATGTTCAGTTATAAGTAAAAATATGATTGCAAAAAATTTCTGACTTTTGAATCATAATATTTTTGTAATTCTCCCATCAAGTTTTCCATGGCGTAGTTATATCATTAGTATTTTCTGTTGGTCTCAGTAACATGGCAGCTTGGTCTAGTGGAGAGAGAAATCAATGGCATTCTACATGGCTTTGCTGCAAAGCAACAGCGACAACAACCCCAAGGGCCACGATGGCAGAGGGCTCAGTCAGGTAACAGTGAGGGTAAAGAGAGTGGGAGGGAAGCCCTACAGCAACGGCCAATTGGGGATGATGATGTTTGCCCTATTTGCCAAGATGAGCTCCTGTCAAAGCACCTTCCTGTGACATACTGCAAGTGAGTGGAAATTGTCTTGAATACTGAAGTCATGTATGTGATTCTATGATAACTATGAATGAGAATTAAGGGTTGGGTTATTTATCCAACCTTCTGATTTGCCTTTTTTTCTAGATTAGGATAATGGAGTACTAATTTGTGTTAATAATAATCTGACATTGAATGTCACAGATTTTAACTCAATAAGGACTGTCCTGTAGAATGACTGTAAAGGGATTGCTTGCTGTAGTATAAACTTGTCCTATCATGGATAATAACCTCAACTAGTACAATTATCTAGTAACTGAGAGTTTATAGCAATAATGTACTTATTACCATTCTTTCTAGATCATTACTTCAGGATAGAATTGTAAGAATATCATATGAATAAACAACTGATTAAAATGGTATAAACTTGATTTCTAGACTTGTGTATCCTGAGTGCATTGTGTATGTAGGTGATTTGGTTATTTGGGTCGAGGTTGTAGCACAAGTTAACAGTTAACGGCTGATACATCTTAAACTTTATGCTTGAACATTTACAGTATTTGTGATGTATATAGGACCTAGCAGGAGTTTCCATTTCATATGTGATTTATAGAATAAGTCTAAAAACCTTTCGTTTTGCTACACAGGCCTTTGACATGTTAAAATGAAAACAATATAACAAGTTTAACAAAGCAGACATGAAATGGAAATAAATCTTAGATCTTTTTTTACCACATGATTAGAAAATGCATGAAACATACTTCTCTATGTCACACCTGAAATCCTCATTACTTTATATCTACGGTCTCCATTGTGATGTCACATTGTAATCTACACACATGTAATGTCCATTCATTGTCTAATTCTAAAATTGCCAGGTAAAACACAAAAATCCTGGCTTTAATCACCTAATAAAACTGTGAAGATGTGATGAATGAGAGTAAACATTTGTTATATCTACTGATGCTGTGTCTTTGTTGGGGGGAACATGGTCTGTTGATTAGAAGATAATTATATGTGCATGTAATTAAATTCAAATTCTATCTGCACAGATTTGGATGTGGAAACAGCATTCATATCAAATGTATGAAGGTTTGGGCAGATCACCAGAAGTCTTCTGGCGATACAGTCATCAAATGCCCATTTTGTCGTGAGGATTTTGGACCCTTTGAGCTGCTCAAGCAGGAAAGTCGGAATGCCATAGGGGCTCCTCAGGGTGGCAGAATGGATCGCCATCTTGGAACTGATTGTCAGAGTTGCCATATATCACCAATAGAAGGAAAATGCTACAGGTTATTGTGCCTTCTTATATATATTTCCTGTTTCTGGTGTAAATCTACACTATAACAAAATGCAATCCTTGCACACTACTCTCAGAAAATCTAGTTTTTGTCTTTGATTTCTTAGTCAACATTTCCAGCTTTTTAATGTAATATGTTTGATTATTGGGATAAATTAAACAGCAAATCTAACCATTACAATCTTGTAGCTTCAGATCTGTCTCTTTACAACATGAATTGTGTATGATAGGTGTCTTGTGTTATTACTAGTATATGTATATGTGTATGATAGGTGTCTTGTGTTATTACTAGTACATGTATATTGTGTATGATAGGTGTCTTGTGTTATTACTAGTACATGTATATTGTGTATGATAGGTGTCTTGTGTTATTACTAGTACATGTATATTGTGTATGATAGGTGTCTTGTGTTATTACTAGTACATGTATATTGTGTATGATAGGTGTCTTGTGTTATTACTAGTACATGTATATTGTGTATGATAGGTGTCTTGTGTTATTACTAGTACATGTATATTGTGTATGATAGGTGTCTTGTGTTATTACTAGTACATGTATATTGTGTATGATAGGTGTCTTGTGTTATTACTAGTACATGTATATTGTGTATGATAGGTGTCTTGTGCTATTACTAGTACATGTATATTGTGTATGATAGGTGTCTTGTGTTATTACTAGTACATGTATATGTGTATGATAGGTGTCTTGTGTTATTACTAGTACATGTATATGTGTATGATAGGTGGCTTGTGCTATTACTAGTACATGTATATTGTGTATGATAGGTGTCTTGTGTTATTACTAGTACATGTATATTGTGTATGATAGGTGTCTTGTGTTATTACTAGTACATGTATATTGTGTATGATAGGTGTCTTGTGTTATTACTAGTACATGTATATTGTGTATGATAGGTGTCTTGTGCTATTACTAGTACATGTATATTGTGTATGATAGGTGTCTTGTGTTATTCCAATGTACACTGTATATATTTACAACAGGTGTCGTGTGTGCACCAACTTCCATCTGTGCCAGACCTGCTTCAACACTGCTACTCATACTCAACACCCATTTGAGTATCGTCATGTGAGTATTCTCTTGTTCATTTAAGATGGAATATGTTTAACTAATGTTAATAACCTAAAGCTTGATTCTGAAATCATCTGTAACTAATCAAATGTATAAATATATACAAATGACCTGACAAAATATAACAAACTCTGTCTAAATTAACATATATTTGTGAGTGATTTATTTTTGTGACATTCAAGTATCAGAAAAATCTCAAAAGTGAATTGCCACAAACATGCTCACTTCCCAACATATTAATGATTGACTGTAAGGTTCACAGAAAGTGTATCACTATGAAATAGTCTAGACACGTAAAACACAAAAATTGATAGCTGTGAAAAAGGATTAACAAGAACAACTGGGTAATCATACATATTAAATGAACTAGATTAATGATATGACATTCAATTCTAGATTGAAAAGAACAATAATTTGCCATTCACTTGATCAAAGTGAATATTTTATATTAAGAAAATGCAAATGCAGTTTGTACATTGTACATTCTTTAATGTTAGACAATGGGCCAAGTAAAATGGTGAGAAGTCATACATTTGTCAAGTTCAATCATTTATATTCATTATGTTGTCAACTATATTGAATAAAAAATTGTTGGTAATTGTAAACATTTTTAAGTATATCTATTGCATAATTATTAATTTGTTTTGTCTACAGAAGCGTAACCAGCATTGGAAAGCTGCACAAAGGATGTATGGAGCAGTACTTCCGCAGGCTGTAGCCGAAAGTCTAGCGAACCGTGAAATCTCGGAAAATGACTATGACCTTCTCATGCAGCTTGACAGGTAAATGATACAACAGAATATATGAAACCATGTAGAACAACTTTGTTTACAGGAATATAGATTGGTTTCCACAGTGTGCTACTTTATCATTTGGTACTCTTCAGGTTTTTTGTGGTGTGAGAACTGATATCCATTGTCCAACTGTAGCAATTAATTCTAACACAAATTCTATGTTTCGGCCTACAGTAACACTTCAACCCAACAGAGTGACATTCCAGAAAGTGTGGTGAATTCATTTCCTCTTGAGAAAGTACGAGAAAATGGCCCCCTCCTCGCTCCAGGGATGCAGTGCAGAGTGTGTCTCCGTGGATACCAAGTTGGACAGTTTGTCAGGAAGCTGCCTCGCTGTAAACACAAGGTAGAAACTTAATGCCAGGTCTTTGTCCTAGAGTCAAGATAGAAATATGAAGTGTGAATATAACTATAATCTTCATGATAATAAAAAATACAATAATTTGTAATTTCAGTTCCACAGAGACTGTATAGATAACTGGCTCCTCCACTCTCACTCAACATGTCCAGTTGATGGCCATAGTGTGTGGGATCCCCACTCGGATCAGATAGATGATACAGAACAGCGTACCAGGTACCTCTATACCCATTACTTTGTAACACAGCACTGAGGTTTGATTTGTTGAAAGTAGATACTGACCTAAGGTAACTCAGTTTCTATTGATTTTTTGACAGTAAGTACAGACCTAAGGTAATTCAGTTTCTACTGATTTGTTGACAGTAGATACTGACCTAAGGTAACTCAGTTTCTATTGATTTGTTGACAGTAGATTCTGACCTAAGGTAACTCAGTTTCTATTGATTTGTTGACAGTAGATACTGACCTAAGGTAACTCAGTTTCTACTGATTTGTTGACAATAGATACTGACCTAAGGTAACTCAGTTTCTATTGATTTGTTGACAGTAGATACTGACCTAAGGTAACTCAGTTTCTATTGATTTGTTGACAGTAAGTACTGACCTAAGGTAATTCAGTTTCTATTGATTTGTTGACAGTAGATACTCGATACTGACCTAAGGTAATTCAGTTTCTATTGATTTGTTGACAGTAGATACTGACCTAAGGTAACTCAGTTTCTATTGATTTGTTGACAGTAGATACTGACCTAAGGTAATTCAGTTTCTATTGATTTGTTGACAGTAGATACTGACCTAAGGTAACTCAGTTTCTACTGATTTGTTGACAATAGATACTGACCTAAGGTAACTCAGTTTCTATTGATTTTTTGACAGTAGATACTGACCTAAGGTAACTCAGTTTCTATTGATTTGTTGACAGTAAGTACTGACCTAAGGTAATTCAGTTTCTATTGATTTGTTGACAGTAGATACTCGATACTGACCTAAGGTAACTCAGTTTCTATTGATTTGTTGACAGTAGATACTGACCTAAGGTAATTCAGTTTCTATTGATTTGTTGACAGTAGATACTGACCTAAGGTAACTCAGTTTCTACTGATTTGTTGACAATAGATACTGACCTAAGGTAACTCAGTTTCTATTGATTTTTTGACAGTAGATACTGACCTAAGGTAACTCAGTTTCTATTGATTTGTTGACAGTAAGTACTGACCTAAGGTAATTCAGTTTCTATTGATTTGTTGACAGTAGATACTCGATACTGACCTAAGGTAATTCAGTTTCTATTGATTTGTTGACAGTAAGTACTGACCTAAGGTCACTCAGTTTCTATTGATTTGTTGACAGTAAGTACTGACCTAAGGTAACTCAGTTTCTATTGATTTGTTGACAGTAGATACTGACCTAAGGTAACTCAGTTTCTACTGATTTGTTGACAGTAAGTACTGACCTACGGTGACTCAGTTTCTACTGATTTGTTGACAGTAGATACTGACCTAAGGTAACTCAGTTTCTACTGATTTGTTGACAGTAAGTACTGACCTAAGGTAACTCAGTTTCTATTGATTTGTTGACAGTAGAAACTGACCTAAGGTAATTCAGTTTCTATTGATTTGTTGACAGTAAGTACTGACCTAAGGTAATTCAGTTTCTATTGATTTGTTGACAGTAAGTACTGACCTAAGGTAATTCAGTTTCTATTGATTTGTTGACAGTAAGTACTGACCTAATGTAACTCAGTTTCTATTGATTTGTTGACAGTAAGTACTGACCTAAGGTAACTCAGTTTCTATTGATTTGTTGACAGTAAGTACTGACCTAAGGTAACTCAGTTTCTATTGATTTGTTGACAGTAGATACTAACCTAAGGTAACTCAGTTTCTATTGATTTGTTGACAGTAGATACTGACCTAAGGTAACTCAGTTTCTACTGATTTGTTGACAGTAGATACTGACCTAAGGTAACTCAGTTTCTATTGATTTGTTAACAGTAAGTACTGACCTAAGGTAACTCAGTTTCTATTGGTTTGTTGACAATAAGTACTGACCTAAGGTAACTCAGTTTCTATTGATTTGTTGACAGTAAGTACTGACCTAAGGTAACTCAGTTTCTATTGATTTGTTGACAGTAGATACTGACCTAAGGTAACTCAGTTTCTATTGATTTGTTGACAGTAAGTACTGACCTAAGGTAATTCAGTTTCTATTGATTTGTTGACAGTAGATACTCGATACTGACCTAAGGTAACTCAGTTTCTATTGATTTGTTGACAGTAAGTACTGACCTAAGGTAACTCAGTTTCTACTGATTTGTTGACTGTAGATACTGACCTAAGGTAACTCAGTTTCTACTGATTTGTTGACAGTAAGTACTGACCTAAGGTAACTCAGTTTCTATTGATTTGTTGACAGTAAGTACTGACCTAAGGTAACTCAGTTTCTATTGATTTGTTGATAGTAAGTACTGACCTAAGGTAACTCAGTTTCTATTGATTTGTTGACAGTAGATACTCGATACTGACCTAAGGTAACTCAGTTTCTATTGACTTGTTGACAGTAGATACTGACCTAAGGTAACTCAGTTTCTATTGATTTGTTGACAGTAAGTACTGACCTAAGGTAACTCAGTTTCTACTGATTTGTTGACTGTAGATACTGACCTAAGGTAACTCAGTTTCTACTGATTTGTTGACAGTAAGTACTGACCTAAGGTAACTCAGTTTCTATTGATTTGTTGACAGTAAGTACTGACCTAAGGTAACTCAGTTTCTATTGATTTGTTGATAGTAAGTACTGACCTAAGGTAACTCAGTTTCTATTGATTTGTTGACAGTAGATACTGACCTAAGGTAACTCAGTTTCTACTGATTTGTTGACAGTAAGTACTGACCTACGGTAACTCAGTTTCTATTGATTTGTTGACAGTAGATACTGAACTAAGGTAACTCAGTTTCTATTGATTTGTTGACAGTAAGTACTGACCTAAGGTAATTCAGTTTCTATTGATTTGTTGACAGTAGATACTCGATACTGACCAAAGGTAACTCAGTTTCTATTGATTTGTTGACAGTAAGTACTGACCTAAGGTAATTCAGTTTCTATTGATTTGTTGACAGTAGATACTGACCTAAGGTAACTCAGTTTCTATTGATTTGTTGACAGTAGATACTGACCTAAGGTAATTCAGTTTCTATTGATTTGTTGACAGTAGATACTGACCTAAAGTAACTCAGTTTCTATTGATTTGTTGACAGTAGATACTCGATACTGACCAAAGGTAACTCAGTTTCTACTGATTTGTTGACAGTAGATACTGACCTAAGGTAACTCAGTTTCTATTGATTTGTTGACAGTAAGTTCTGACCTAAGGTAACTCAGTTTCTATTGATTTGTTGACAGTAGATACTGACCTAAGATAACTCAGTTTCTACTGATTTGTTGACAGTAGATACTGACCTAAGGTAACTCAGTTTCTATTGATTTGTTGACAGTAGATACTGACCTAAGGTAATTCAGTTTCTATTGATTTGTTGACAGTAAGTACTGACCTAAGGTAACTCAGTTTCTATTGATTTGTTGACAGTAGATACTGACCTAAGGTAACTCAGTTTCTATTGATTTGTTGACTGTAAGTACTGACCTAAGGTAATTCAGTTTCTATTGATTTGTTGACAGTAGATACTGACCTAAGGTAACTCAGTTTCTATTGATTTGTTGACAGTAAGTACTGACCTAAGGTAACTCAGTTTCTATTGATTTGTTGACTGTAAATACTGACCTAAGGTAACTCAGTTTCTATTGATTTGTTGATAGTAAGTACTGACCTAAGGAAACTCCGTTTCTATTGATTTGTTGACAGTAGATACTGACCTAAGGTAACTCAGTTTCTATTGATTTGTTGACTGTAAATACTGACCTAAGGTAACTCAGTTTCTATTGATTTGTTGACAGTAGATACTGACCTAAGGTAACTCAGTTTCTATTGATTTGTTGACAGTAAGTACTGACCTAAGGAAACTCCGTTTCTATTGATTTGTTGACAGTAGATACTGACCTAAGGTAATTCAGTTTCTATTGATTTTTTGACAGTAAGTGATGACCTAAGATAACTCAGTTTGTATTGATTTGTTGACAGTAGATACTGACCTCAGGTAATTCAGTTTCTATTGATTTGTTGACAGTAAGTACTGACCTAAGGTAATTCAGTTTCTATTGATTTGTTTTCTATTGATTTGTTGACAGTAGATACTCGATACTGACCTAAGGTAACTCAGTTTCTATTGATTTGTTGACAGTAGATACTGACCTAAGATAACTCAGTTTCTACTGATTTGTTGACAGTAGATACTGACCTAAGGTAACTCAGTTTCTATTGATTTGTTGACAGTAGATACTGACCTAAGGTAATTCAGTTTCTATTGATTTGTTGACAGTAAGTACTGACCTAAGGTAACTCAGTTTCTATTGATTTGTTGACAGTAGATACTGACCTAAGGTAACTCAGTTTCTATTGATTTGTTGACTGTAAGTACTGACCTAAGGTAATTCAGTTTCTATTGATTTGTTGACAGTAGATACTGACCTAAGGTAACTCAGTTTCTATTGATTTGTTGACAGTAAGTACTGACCTAAGGTAATTCAGTTTCTATTGATTTGTTGACAGTAAGTACTGACCTAAGGTAACTCAGTTTCTATTGATTTGTTGACAGTAGATACTCGATACTGACCTAAGGTAACTCAGTTTCTATTGATTTGTTGACAGTAGATACTGACCTAAGGTAATTCAGTTTCTATTGATTTGTTGACATTTGATACTGATCTAAGGTAACTCAGTTTCTATTGATTTGTTGACAGTAGATACTCGATACTGACCAAAGGTAACTCAGTTTCTACTGATTTGTTGACAGTAGATACTGACCTAAGGTAACTCAGTTTCTATTGATTTGTTGACAGTAAGTTCTGACCTAAGGTAACTCAGTTTCTATTGATTTGTTGACAGTAGATACTGACCTAAGTCAGTTTCTACTGATTTGTTGACAGTAGATACTGACCTAAGGTAACTCAGTTTCTATTGATTTGTTGACAGTAGATACTGACCTAAGGTAATTCAGTTTCTATTGATTTGTTGACAGTAGATACTGACCTAAGGTAATTCAGTTTCTATTGATTTGTTGACAGTAGATACTGACCTAAGGTAACTCAGTTTCTATTGATTTGTTGACAGTAAGTACTGACCTAAGGTAACTCAGTTTCTATTGATTTGTTGACAGTAAATACTGACCTAAGGTAACTCAGTTTCTATTGATTTGTTGATAGTAAGTACTGACCTAAGGAAACTCCGTTTCTATTGATTTGTTGACAGTAGATACTGACCTAAGGTAACTCAGTTTCTATTGATTTGTTGACTTTAAATACTGACCTAAGGTAACTCAGTTTCTATTGATTTGTTGACAGTAGATACTGACCTAAGGTAACTCAGTTTCTATTGATTTGTTGACAGTAAGTACTGACCTAAGGTAACTCAGTTTCTATTGATTTGTTGACAGTAGATACTGACCTAAGGTAATTCAGTTTCTATTGATTTTTTGACAGTAAGTGATGACCTAAGGTAACTCAGTTTGTATTGATTTGTTGACAGTAGATACTGACCTAAGGTAACTCAGTTTCTATTGATTTGTTGACAGTAAGTACTGACCTAAGGTAATTCAGTTTCTATTGATTTGTTGACAGTAGATACTGACCTAAGGTAACTCAGTTTCTATTGATTTGTTGACAGTAAGTACTGACCTAAGGTAACTCAGTTTCTATTGATTTGTTGACAGTAGATACTGACCTAAGGTAATTCAGTTTCTATTGATTTGTTGACAGTAAGTACTGACCTAAGGTAACTCAGTTTCTATTGATTTGTTGACAGTAGATACTGACCTAAGGTAACTCAGTTTCTATTGATTTGTTGACTGACCTAAGGTAACTCAGTTTCTATTGATTTGTTGACAGTAAGTACTGACCTAAGGTAATTCAGTTTCTATTGATTTGTTGACATTTGATACTGATCTAAGGTAACTCAGTTTCTATTGATTTGTTGACAGTAAGTACTGACCTAAGGTAATTCAGTTTCTACTGATTTGTTGACAGTAAGTACTGACCTAAGGTAACTCAGTTTCTATTGATTTGTTGATAGTAAGTACTGACCTAAGGTAATTCAGTTTCTACTGATTTGTTGACAGTAAGTACTGACCTAAGGTAACTCAGTTTCTATTGATTTGTTGACAGTAGATACTGACCTAAGGTAACGATACTGACCTAAGGTAATTCAGTTTCTATTGATTTGTTGACAGTAGATACTGACCTAAGGTAACTCAGTTTCTATTGATTTGTTGACAGTAAGTACTGACCTAAGGTAACTCAGTTTCTATTGATTTGTTGACAGTAGATACTGACCTAAGGTAACTCAGTTTCTATTGATTTGTTGACAGTAAGTACTGACCTAAGATAACTCAGTTTCTATTGATTTGTTGACAGTAGATACTGACCTAAGGTAACTCAGTTTCTATTGATTTGTTGACAGTAAGTACTGACCTAAGGTAACTCAGATTTGTTGACAGTCTATTGAACTCAGTTTCTACTGATTTGTTGACAGTAGATACTGACCTAAGGTAATTCAGTTTCTATTGATTTGTTGACAGTAGATACTGACCTAAGATAACTCAGTTTCTATTGATTTGTTGACAGTAGATACTGACCTAAGGTAATTCAGTTTCTATTGATTTGTTGACAGTAAGTACTGACCTAAGGTAACTCAGTTTCTAAGGTAATACTCAGTTTCTATTGATTTGTTGACAGTAAGATACTGACCTAAGGTAACTCAGTTTCTATTGATTTGGTAACTCAGTTTCTATTGATTTGTTGACAGTAAGTACTGACCTAAGGTAACTCAGTTTCTATTGATTTGTTGACTATTGATTTGTTGATTTGTTGATTGATTTTTTGACAGTAAGTGACTGGTAACTCAGTTTCTATTGATTTGTTGACAGTAACTAAGGTAATTCAGTTTCTATTGATTTGTTGACAGTAGATACTGACCTAAGGTAACTCAGTTATTGATTTGTTGACAGTAAGACCTAAGTTTCTATTGATTTGTTCAGTAGATACTGACCTAAGGTAACTCAGTTTCTATTGATTTGTTGACAGTAGATACTGACCTAAGGTAACTCAGTATCTATTGATTTGTTGAAAGTAGATACTGACCTAAGGTAACTCAGTTTCTATTGATTTGTTGACATTAGATACTGATCTAAGGTAACTCAGTTTCTATTGATTTGTTGATAGTAAGTACTGACCTAAGGTAATTCAGTTTCTACTGATTTGTTGACAGTAAGTACTGACCTAAGGTAACTCAGTTTCTATTGATTTGTTGACAGCAGATACTCGATACTGACCTAAGGTAATTCAGTTTCTATTGATTTGTTGACAGTAGATACTGACCTAAGGTAATTCAGTTTCTATTGATTTGTTGACAGTAAGTACTGACCTAAGGTAATTCAGTTTCTATTGATTTGTTGACAGTAGATACTGACCTAAGGTAACTCAGTTTCTATTGATTTGTTGACAGTAGATACTGACCTAAGGTAACTCAGTTTCTGTTGATTTGTTGACAGTAAGTACTGACCTAAGGTAACTCAGTTTCTACTGATTTGTTGACAGTAGATACTGACCTAAGGTAACTCAGTTTCTATTGATTTGTTGACAGTAAGTACTGACCTAAGGTAATTCAGTTTCTATTGATTTGTTGACAGTAGATACTTGATACTGACCTAAGGTAACTCAGTTTCTATTGATTTGTTGACAGTAGATACTGACCTAAGGTAATTCAGTTTCTATTAATTTCTTGACAGTAGATACTGACCTAAGGTAATTCAGTTTCTTTTAATTACAGTGACCTTATGATAGATTTAGATAAAGGTTTTAAGGTGCCATCCCAGTTTAAAGTTTCATATATTTATAGCTTAGAATTCTCTGATTCTTTATAGAGCACCTAGACAAGCAAAGGAAAATGGTCAGACATCCAGAAAGGAATTGGTCCTGGAGGTGCCAGGAATTGGAATTGTTAGGCAGACAGAAGAAACAGCTGCTCGTGAAAGTGCTCTTAGAGGTTTTGGAAGACGACTTCCTGGTACACAGCCCCAGCTTAAACAAAGTCGTGGTTCCAGCTCCGACAGCAAAAACGTCATCCCTCTTAGATCAAGCTTTACATTAAGTGGTGTCAGCTTTGGTAACAGGTACAAACTAAAGGCAACAGCAGTTACGGTGATAATAAATACTGGGAGTGAAATCAGTCCTCTGTGTTATGGGATGAAATATTAAAGCAGTTACGGTTATAATAAATACTGGGAGTGAAATCAGTCCTCTGTGTTATGGGATGAAATATTAAAGCAGTTACGGTTATAATAAATACTGGGAGTGAAATCAGTCCTCGATGTTTAGGGATGAAAGTTCAAAGGCAGTTACAGTTATAATAAATACCGGGAGTGAAGGCAGTCCTCAGTGTTTAGGGATGAAAGTTCAAAGGCAGTTACAGTTATAATAAATACCGGGAGTGAAGGCAGTACTCAGTGTTATGGAATGAAAGATCAGAAAAGTAGAGATACTGGGATGGAATGTTAGAGTGACGTTGATATCAGGAGGGAGACTCAGATAAGTGGTGATTTTGAAGGAGAGATGGTGGTGATCTATAACAGGGCTCGAATAATGGTCAGAGGGGATGTATTATTAGGAGGTAAGGCCAGAGGGGATGTAATATTAGGAGGGAAGGCCAGAGGGGATGTAATATTAGGAGGGAAGGCCAGAGGAGATGTAAGATTAGGAGGGAAGGCCAGAGGGGATGTAATATTAGGAGGGAAGGTCAGAGGGGATGTAATATTAGGAGGGAAGGCCAGAGGGGATGTAATATTAGGAGGGAAGGCCAGAGGGGATGTAATATTAGGAGGGAAGGGTAGAGGGGATGTAATATTAGGAGGTAAGGCCAGACTGGGATGTAATATTAGGAGGTAAGGCCAGACTGGGATGTAATATTAGGAGGAAAGGCCAGAGGGGATGTAATATTAGGAGGTAAGGCCAGAGGGGATGTAATATTAGGAGGAAAGGCCAGAGGGGATGTAATATTAGGAGGTAAGGCCAGAGGGGATGTAATATTAGGAGGTAAGGCCAGACTGGGATGTAATATTAGGAGGAAAGGCCAGAGGGGATGTAATATTAGGAGGTAAGGCCAGAGGGGATGTAATATTAGGAGGTAAGGCCAGACTGGGATGTAATATTAGGAGGGAAGGCCAGACTGGGATGTAATATTAGGAGGTAAGGCCAGACTGGGATGTAATATTAGGAGGGAAGGCCAGAGGGGATGTAATATTAGGAGGGAAGGCCAGACTGGGATGTAATATTAGGAGGTAAGGCCAGACTGGGATGTAATATTAGGAGGTAAGGCCAGACTGGGATGTAATATTAGGAGGGAAGGCCAGAGGGGATGTAATATTAGGAGGTAAGGCCAGACTGGGATGTAATATTAGGAGGTAAGGCCAGACTGGGATGTAATATTAGGAGGTAAGGCCAGACTGGGATGTAATATTAGGAGGTAAGGCCAGACTGGGATGTAATATTAGGAGGTAAGGCCAGACTGGGATGTAATATTAGGAGGTAAGGCCAGACTGGGATGTAATATTAGGAGGTAAGGCCAGACTGGGATGTAATATTAGGAGGTAAGGCCAGACTGGGATGTAATATTAGGAGGTAAGGCCAGACTGGGATGTAATATTAGGAGGTAAGGCCAGACTGGGATGTAATATTAGGAGGGAAGGCCAGACTGGGATGTAATATTAGGAGGTAAGGCCAGACTGGGATGTAATATTAGGAGGGAAGGCCAGACTGGGATGTAATATTAGGAGGGAAGGCCAGACTGGGATGTAATATTAGGAGGGAAGGCCAGACTGGGATGTAATATTAGGAGGGAAGGCCAGACTGGGATGTAATATTAGGAGGTAAGGCCAGACTGGGATGTAATATTAGGAGGTTAGGCCAGACTGGGATGTAATATTAGGAGGTAAGGCCAGACTGGGATGTAATATTAGGAGGGAAGGCCAGACTGGAATGTAATATTAGGAGGGAAGGCCAGACTGGGATGTAATATTAGGAGGTAAGGCCAGACTGGGATAGTGAAATTATCTTAGAAGATTATCTAACTGTAATTTTTTTTTAAAATTTGATTTATTTATAACTTGTCATCTGTAATCTAGATGATTGTCTTCTTGAGAGAGAAGCTGTATATAGAGTTAACTGTATTTCATAATAAAAACCTTACAGTTCTGAAGGGGCCTCTGGTGGCAGTGAAACAACTCCAGTTGAAGATCTCCCTGGCAACCGACTACTCGGACGTGCTCAGGCTCGTCGCTCAACCCTCAACAAAAAGCTTGCAGTTAGAAGTCAAAGGCCAAAGCAGAAGGAAAGCAGGACACAACAAGAAATAAATGGTGCTCAGTTTGACATTCATTCAATGCCAGTCGTACCACAAGAGCAGCATATTGATGATGTGCTAGGTCCTATGACCCCAACTCAGAGAACTATCATGAATCACCTCGCCATGCTGCACACACCAGATGAGGACGAGATCCTGGGCGACATTAATCCATCCACACCTCAGCGAGTTCATTGTATGCGTACCTCTATGCTCAGTAGCACGGACATGAGATCACCGTTTGTGCGAGATTTACCTCCCCTGATTGAGTCTGAACAGGAACACGAGACACCAGACTACCCAACTATTGGAGAGTGTGATCAGGAGACAGCTTCCCTCAACAGTTCAATCAGTCTGAATCAACACAGATACAGACATACAAATAGACAGCCTGAGATGGAGGCACAGACAGACACTGTCGTCACGACCTCTGTAAGGTCAACACCTGAAATCAGATCATGCACTGGGTCTCAGAGGTCCTTGACAAATGGTGCAGTAACCCCTTATGGTGAAACTGTAGGAGGAAGTGAGGTCAGTGAAGGTCAGACGAGCATAAGAAGTAGGGGCAGACAAGCAGGTAGGCTATCTTACTTCTGTATGTTAGTTAAATCAATACAGAAAAATGTACTACAGTTAGTTATGTCTGAATACACACTCAGGGGAGAGAAATGACTTTTAAAATGGCATGGAAAAGTGGAACTTATACATTATTTGATAAAGTCTAATTGTTTTTTTTTTCCTTTTAGCTAGTCTCTATCAAAAAAACTTTGACACATTTCTGAAACTAATATTAATTTGTTTGTCAGTTATTGATCGCAAACTCATTAATTGTGTAAAATACCTAGTTTGAATTTTTTCCATAGGTTTATATAGACACTTGGATTGTCAGATTAAATTGAAGAAAATTGAAACAATATCTTATATCAGTCTGGAATCCTATATGTGCTAAGTTTTTTTAAACCTCTGTGCACATGTAGTAAAGAGAAGATTTAAAGTATTCTGTGTGACTGTACGTCCATCCCAAGCAAAAAGCTGACAGATTTGATGGTTACTGATATACTGATTCATCATAACTAATCCCTTGTAGTAGCCACTCTAATCAAACATTGATCAGAAAAGCAAAATTGTCACATGGTTTGGCAAATGTCTTAGTGGATGAAATGAAGGACAACCCTCAGTAGAAATATACAGTATATATCTGTACTTTACTATTGTATTGTATCCTGTTTAATTCTGGATCTCCACATCTTTTATATAGCTTTTTTTTTATTTTAGTCAAATTTTGTTGAGTTTTTTTACCTTAGTCTACTTGTATCTTGTATCCTATATCTTAATGTAATCTCAAGGTGCTTTATTTCTTTGTGTTACATGTTGCTAAATAAATAATAAAACTACATGATTTAAGTCTTAACTGCATGGTGCTTTGTATCATAGCCTAACTGCATGGTGCTTTGTATTGTAGCCTAACTGCATTGTGCTTTGTATTGTAGTCTAACTGCATGGTGCTTTGTATTGTAGTCTAACTGCATGGTGCTTTGTAATGTAGTCTAACTGCATGGTGCTTTGTATTGTAGTCTAACTGCATGGTGCTTTGTATTGTAGTCTAACTGCATGGTGCTTTGTATCATAGTCTAACTGCATGGTGCTTTGTATCATAGCCTAACTGCATGGTGCTTTGTATTTTAGCCTAACTGCATGGTGCTTTGTATCATAGTCTAACTGCATGGTGCTTTGTATCATAGCCTAACTGCATGGTGCTTTGTATTGTAGCCTAACTGCATGATGCTTTGGTATCGTAGTCTAACTGCATGGTGCTTTGTATCATAGTCTAACTGCATGGTGCTTTGTATCATAGCCTAACTGCATGGTGCTTTGTATTGTAGTCTAACTGCATGGTGCTTTGTTTTGTAGTCTAACTGCATGGTGCTTTGTATTGTAGTCTAACTGTATGGTGCTTTGTATCATAGTCTAACTGCATGGTGCTTTGTATCATAGCCTAACTGCATGGTGCTTTATATCATAGCCTAACTGCATGGTGCTTTATATCATAGCCTAACTGCATGGTGCTTTATATCATAGCCTAACTGCATAGTGCTTTGTATTGTAGCCTAACTGCATGGTGCTTTATATCATAGCCTAACTGCATGGTGCTTTGTGTTGTAGCCTAACTGCATGGTGCTTTGTATTGTAGCCTAACTGCATGATGCTTTGGTATCGTAGTCTAACTGCATGGTGCTTTGTATCATAGTCTAACTGCATGGTGCTTTGTATCATAGCCTAACTGCATGGTGCTTTGTATTGTAGTCTAACTGCATGGTGCTTTGTTTTGTAGTCTAACTGCATGGTGCTTTGTATTGTAGTCTAACTGTATGGTGCTTTGTATTGTAGCCTAACTGCATGATGCTTTGGTATCGTAGTCTAACTGCATGGTGCTTTGTATCATAGTCTAACTGCATGGTGCTTTGTATCATAGCCTAACTGCATGGTGCTTTGTATTGTAGTCTAACTGCATGGTGCTTTGTTTTGTAGTCTAACTGCATGGTGCTTTGTATTGTAGTCTAACTGTATGGTGCTTTGTATCATAGTCTAACTGCATGGTGCTTTGTATCATAGCCTAACTGCATGGTGCTTTATATCATAGCCTAACTGCATGGTGCTTTATATCATAGCCTAACTGCATGGTGCTTTATATCATAGCCTAACTGCATAGTGCTTTGTATTGTAGCCTAACTGCATGGTGCTTTATATCATAGCCTAACTGCATGGTGCTTTGTGTTGTAGCCTAACTGCATGGTGCTTTGTATTGTAGCCTAACTGCATGATGCTTTGGTATCGTAGTCTAACTGCATGGTGCTTTGTATCATAGTCTAACTGCATGGTGCTTTGTATCATAGCCTAACTGCATGGTGCTTTGTATTGTAGTCTAACTGCATGGTGCTTTGTTTTGTAGTCTAACTGCATGGTGCTTTGTATTGTAGTCTAACTGTATGGTGCTTTGTATCATAGTCTAACTGCATGGTGCTTTGTATCATAGCCTAACTGCATGGTGCTTTATATCATAGCCTAACTGCATGGTGCTTTGTATCATAGCCTAACTGCATGGTGCTTTATATCATAGCCTAACTGCATGATGCTTAGTATTGTAGCCTAACTGCAAGGTGCTTTGTGTTGTAGCCTAACTGCATGGTGCTTTGTGTTGTAGCCTAACTGCATGGTGCTTTGTATCATAGTCTAACTGCATGGTGCTTTGTATTGTAGCCTAACTGCATGGTGCTTTGTATTGTAGTCTAACTGCATGGTGCTTTGTATTGTAGTCTAACTGCATGCTTTTCTTCTTTCTTTTATCTTTTCTTTTGCTCCTGTGCTGTTCAGACATAGAATACATGTTGAGCTTTATCTCAGAAGATCGAGGACACAGTGCTGCCACAGGAAGTAATCGAAGTAACCGTTCCCGGAGCCGAGATAGAGTGGAGTCTGCTTCAACTAGTTCCACCATTACAGAAGAAGAGTCAGCAATCAGGAAAAGACTGCAGGTATAAGATACACATAGATTGATGGCACAGGTCAGGAAGCCTGCCATTATGACTACCTACATCAATAGCTTTGGACCAAACCTTTATTGTGAACACATCACCTTCCATTTATTGTATGATCCTACATCTATAATTCTATCATACATATATTTAAGTGTAAAATGTCTCAGATTACTGCATGTATTACACAGATAGCTCTTATACAAACTGTCTCACTAACATATGTACATAATTATTTAGTTATTTTCATACCACAACATCACACCATTATGTTCTCCATCTGCTAAAACTTCGATGGTCATTGGTCAAGGTTCAAGGTCAGAGATCACCACTGATCCAATATGAATAAAGATGTATACAATTAAGTTTTTAACAAACTTTTGACACCACAACATCACACAATCAGGTAGTACACTTGATTACATCTTGATGATTATCTGTCAAGGCCAAAAGTTATGCTGGACAACTTTTAAAATAAGATGCTTGTAATTATGTTCAAGATATTTAATGAAACTTTTGTTAGATCTAATTAAGAAGTGTCAGGACCTGTTTGAACTCCTACACACTCTATAGATCACACCTGATGTTTTATTCTATATTTACAGCATTACAAAGACTTGTATGTCGGCAACAGTCCAGATGGTCAATCTCCAGTAGATGCTGTCACAAGGGGGCGCCCTCCACGCAACCCCAGGCGACAGTTTGGTGAACACCTAGCACTGAGGCAGACTAAAAGTCGCAAGAAGATGGAACACCGTCGTCAAAATAATGACCTTGCTTTAGAGGGAAATGCATTTGGGAATCTCACACTAAGAGATCTCATATGAATAAAATGTATATTTCCTGCTCATTAGAAGTTAATCAGATGATTTAACATTCTTTTATGAAGTGTTATGCAATATTGTAATATTTTCTATGAATTTAAAGCATGACAAGTGTTGAAGGGATTCTTCACATGACCTTTACATACTCCTAGTTACCTTTGGCCAATAATTAATACTAGCTACCACTTCACAGGTTTCGAGTTGTCTGCTGTTGATCCTTTCTCTTTTTCTCAGCCTTAAAACACAACATAATGGTATGTAACATATTGTGTAGAAACCTTGAGAGTTACAGCCAGAGAACTAGTGTATAAGGTATAAGAGATGGTGTGAGCAGACAGTAAATCAGTGTTTGTAGATTTTATTGAACGCAGAGTGTATGAGATGTTTCAGACAAATGTCCTTCAGCTTTGAGACTGATTGATATATAACCGTAACTGTTATCATTTTGTGGTTGATAAAGTGTGTTCAGTGACTGCACTTTAATTTTTTTATGGGACAACACAGGGTACATCCTTAGTGTACTGTTGTTTGATCACCTCTAGTGGACACTTGATTTGCATAATTAAAGCTATATTTGTACATGGTGCATCATGATTTTTCATTACTTTGTCTTAATGTTTGTTTTTTTTTCTTCAGTTTTCTATTTCAAATGTACAAGATCAGTTCCTGAATTTTGATCAGAAATAATCCAAAGCTGAAAACTGTGCTGGATGACATTGGTATGAGCTAGAATGCCAATACGTGGTATGTAGTTGTAGAATGGCCAATTCTAGTATATTAAGCTGAAGGTATTAAGTGCAATTTATAAAATCTTCAATGAATATTGATAGGATGTTGAGTGCTTAAGTGTATGACATGCAGTCAGACCTGTCTATAAAGGTCACCTTTAATCAAAGATCGCCTGTCCATAAAGGCCACTTTTTTGGTTCCCTGAGTAATGCAATTTATAGTAATTGAATATCTACATAAAAGCCACCTGTGCATGAAGGCCATTTGTGTATAAATGCCACCTGTGTATGAAGGCCACTTGTGTATAACTGCCACCTGTGTATGAAGGCCACTTGTGTATAAATGCCACCTGTGTATGAAGGCCACTTGTGTATAAATGCCACCTGTGCATGAAGGCCACTTGTGTATGAAGGCTACCTGTGTATGGAGGCCACCTGTGTATGATGCCTACCTGTGTATAAAGGCCATCTATGTATAAAGCCAACTATGTATAAAGGCCACCCATGTATGAAGGCTACCTGTGTATAAAAGCCAACTGTGTATGAAGGCCACCTGTGTATAAAAGCCAACTGTGTATGAAGGCCATCTGTGTATAAAGGCTACCTGTGTATGAAGACTACCTGTGTATAAAGGCCACTTTTCTGGTTCCCTTTGATAACTTTTATAGACAGGTTGACTGTATATGTAAAACTGAATGAACCTTGTTCCTGTGTTCTGACCGGCAGTATTAACAGACTTTCTACAAGCACTTTATAGTAAATACATACAGTAAATTAGATATCTATGGTTCTCCACTTCTGTGTAGGTAGTATGTAGATAAATATTGAAAAATTAGATACAGTTTTCACAGACAGGTCAAACTCATTGTTCCTTGAAATATTTGTGACGTAAGATTCATGAAAATGAAGTAGTGTTCCCTAATTTTTTTTCACTTCAAATTATTAAGTTGAATGTGCATTCTATTTTTAGATGTGAGAGACAATCTCTATAACAGTATTTGTGAGAAGGTTGTGATTTAAGATGATAATCCATGTTACTGACAGTATTCTTTATATTGATAATTGTGTTCTCTGTATGTTGTTAGACTAGATCTTGTGTTGTCTGTGATGAGTAGACCTGAGATATACTGTGTTTACAGGGATATCTTGTTTCCTAGTCAGTGTCAGCTGTGTGGTATATTGTTTTACCTGATCCTCCCTGTTATATCACTATGGTATATCTGTACTATTCACTAGTCTTTTTGTTCTTAAGTCTGTTATCTCTGTGTTTATTTGAACTTATTTTGATGATTTTTGAAGTTCTAAAGTTAGCATACACGTACATGTACTCCTTAACTACAAAACTACTGTCCTATATGTTCTACAGATCTTATATATAGATTATGAACTCTTCTTTTTTTGTGGAATCTTTGGACGGGGTTATTTAATCAGAGTTCCAGTCTTGTTGTGCCTTCAGCATTGTTTTCCTCTTGTTATTAGCCATATTAATCATATAAATGGCTACTTCTCCCTGTGATTACATGTTTGCTTTTGTGTGTATTCTAATTGGAGTTCTTTAAATGATTCCTATTACAATTTAATTAGTTTGAGTAAACTTTTAATTCTAATAATCTGATCGATATTGGAAGATTGAATTTGAAACATTTTTCACAAATAGACGATGGAATTATACTAGAAAGAGGGACATCAAGACATATATATGATATACAGCTGGGGATTTGAAGTCTACTTATATTTGGAATGACCTAGTAACTTATACAATGGTTTATAAAACAACGAGAAATTAGAAATATTTTATTTTCATCACTAATTGAAAGTTTGTATTGAAATAAGAAGTTTTTGAATGTGTTTCTATCTTGTATGTTATATTTTGTATACTATATATTCTGTAATACAGAGGCTGCTTGTTAATGTAAAAATAATGAACAATTGTATGTAAATGAAAATTTGATATTATTGACTGTGATATGGTTTGTTGAGATACCTTATATAAACACTACTATATTACATAGCCAGTATAAAATTCACTTCCTGCTGACTGGGAAACAAAACAATTATTGTTGGTATTCAATGTTTCTGGGGTTTTTTCACAACTCTTTTTTGTCTCATTACTAAGGTTTTGTTCTATTCTAGTGAAGATGTTTCTACTGCTGATTGTTCTTACTCTGATTTATCTATGACTGGAGATAAATTCTCTGTGATTTATCTATGACTGGAGATAAATTCTCTGTGATTTATCTATGACTGGAGATAAATTCTCTGTGATTTATCTAAGACTGGAGATAAATTCTCTGATTTATCTATGACTGGAGATAAATTCTCTGTGATTTATCTATGACTGGAGATAAATTCTCTGTGATTTATCTATGACTGGAGATAAATTCTCTGTGATTTATCTATGACTGGAGATAAATTCTCTGTGATTTATCTATGACTGGTGATAAATTCTCTGTGATTTATCTATGACTGGAGATAAATTCTCTGTGATTTGTCTATGACTGGTGATAAATCCTCTGTGATTTATCTATGACTGGAGATAGATCCTCTGTGATTTATCTATGACTGGAGATAGATCCTCTGTGATTTATCTATGACTGGTGATAAATCCTCTGTGATTTATCTATGACTGGTGATAAATTCTCTGTGATTTATCTATGACTGTTGATAGACCCACTGTGATTTATCTATGACGGGAGATAAATCCTCTGTGATTTATCTATGACTGGTGATAAATCACCTGTGATTTATCTATGACTGTTGATAGACCCACTGTGATTTATCTACAACTGGTGATAGATCCTCTGTGATTATCTATGACTGGTGATAGATCCTGTGTGATTTATCTATGACTGGTGATAAATCCTCTGTGATTTATCTATGACTGGAGATAAATCCTCTGTGATTATCTATGACTGGTGATAAATCACCTGTGATTTATCTATGACTGTTGATAGACCCACTGTGATTTATCTACAACTGGTGATAGATCCTCTGTGATTATCTATGACTGGTGATAGATCCTGTGTGATTTATCTATGACTGGAGATAAATTCTCTGTGATTTATCTATGACTGGTGATAAATCCTCTGTGATTTATCTATGACTGGAGATAAATCCTCTGTGATTATCTATGACTGGTGATAAATCCTCTGTGATTTATCTATGACGGGAGATAAATCCTCTGTGATTTATCTATGACTGGTGATAAATCACCTGTGATTTATCTATGACTGTTGATAGACCCACTGTGATTTATCTACAACTGGTGATAGATCCTCTGTGATTATTTATGACTGGTGATAGATCCTCTGTGATTTATCTATGACTGGTGATAAATCCTCTGTGATTTATCTACAACTGGTGATAGATCCTCTGTGATTTATCTATGACTGGTGATAAATCCTCTGTGATTTATCTACAACTGGTGATAAATCCTCTGTGATTTATCTATGACTGGAGATAGATCCTCTGTGATTTATCTATGACTGGTGATAAATCCTCTGTGATTTATCTATGACTGGTGATAAATCCTCTGTGATTTATCTATGACTGGTGATAAATTCTCTGTGATTTATCTATGACTGGTGATAGACCCTCTGTGATTTATCTATGACTGGAGATAAATTCTCTGTGATTTATCTATGACTGGTGATAAATCCTCTGTGATTTATCTATGACTGGTGATAGATCCTCTGTGATTTATCTATGACTGGTGATAAATCCTCTGTGATTTATCTATGACTGGAGATAGATCCTCTGTGATTTATCTATGACTGGTGATAAATCCTCTGTGATTTATCTATGACTGGTGATAGATCCTCTGTGATTTATCTATGACTGGTGATAGATCCTCTGTGATTTATCTATGACTGGAGATAGATCCTCTGTGATTTATCTATGACTGGTGATAAATCCTCTGTGATTTATCTATGACTGGAGATAGATCCTCTGTGATTTATCTATGACTGGAGATAAATTCTCTGTGATTTATCTATGACTGGTGATAAATCCTCTGTGATTTATCTATGACTGGTGATAGATCCTCTGTGATTTATCTATGACTGGTGATAAATCCTCTGTGATTTATCTATGACTGGTGATAAATCCACTGTGATCATAAAGACAAAATGACAATATTTATTTAGATGTCTTTCAAACAGAGTAGCTTCCTTTATTTATTGTGTCCTGGACAAGATGGCATATTGTTATTGTTTATGTAGTCTATTAAGCACTGCAGATGTTACAGCACTTCCTTATAAATAAATTATTAAAAACAGGTCATTGTCTTTGTTTTACAGTTTTGTATACATCATGTAACATGTAGTTAATATCAGATGTAAGTGTCATAAGATATGTGAGTGATATGGCAATTAAGTACAAAACATTTATGTTTAATCCAAGTTTTCACTATACAAGGAAATCTTTCTGATATTTGATGAATACATGCAGCTAGTCAACTTTCCCTGGCACTGAGCTACAAATAGAACCGTCTTTAAACTGTAGCAATCTCAGTACACCTGCATTCTGAAACTGAAACTCTAGACAAGGCAATTATAACTAGAAATAACATAACCTATACACAACACAAAACACAACACAAAGCACAAAGCAACGTGATTCAAAACACAACACAAAACACAACACAAAGCACAAAGCAACGTGATTCAAAACACAACACAAAGCACAAAGCAACATGATTCAAAACACAACACAAAACAACACAAAACGACACAATTAAAAACAAACACATAATAATATCAGATAATTCAAAACAACAATTAAAAAACCGACACAAAGCACAAGAAGACAATTCAAAACACAACACAAAACAACACAATCCAAAACACAAAACAATTAAAAAACAACAAAATTCAAAACAACAAACTAACATAATTCTCAACACAAAACACAACACAAAACAACATAATTCAAAACACAACACAAAACACAACACAACACAAAATAACATAATTCAAAACACAACACAAAACAACATAATTCAAAACACAACACAAAACAACATAATTCAAAACACAACACAAAACACAACACAACACAAAACAACATTATTCAAAACACAACACAAAACACAATAATTCAAAACACAACACAAAACACAACACAACACAAAACAACATAATTCAAAACACAACACAAAACACAACACAAAACAACATAATCCAAAACACAACACAAAACAACACAAAACAACAAAACACAGTGAAAATGTCTGATCTAGGAAAAATAGATCACAGATTTTGATTCAATACCAAAGATTACATCGTAGTTGAAGCAAGAACGACTTTTTTTGTCCCAGAATTGTTGGAGTATGAAATCTGAGATATAGGAGCTATGACAGGAATTGTTGTGTCTTCTTACTTTTATTGGTTCTTTAGCAGTTTGATCTTTTCGGTTCTTTCTTCTTTCTAATCCCTCCAAAAGTCATACATCTACAACTAGAGATGAACATGAAGTTTTAGAATGATCTGTCACAGATTACTCAAGATAAAGTGAAAACCATCAAAACTACATGTATTGTAATCAACATTGTCAGCCGTACACCATGTTGTTAGTATAACTGTCAATGTATAATTAGGGACCAAACAGAGTTAGCAGAAGGAGATAATCATCGCAGAAATTCTTTTGAAATAGCAATCAAAAACTTTCAAAATCAAACATGGGTGCCTGTCGGCCATATTGTTACTTCAATCAATCCTCAGCAGAAAAGAGAATCTACACTTCTATAGCTATAGGTGGCATCCTGTACTCCTAAAGAAATAATGATAACAAGTTAATTATAATATCGGTGTACTTCACCGTAATATACACTGATAATATCGATGTACTTCACCGCAATATACACTGATAATATCGGTGTACTTCACCGTAATATACACTGATAATATCGATGTACTTCACCGCAATATACACTGATAATATCGGTGTACTTCACCGTAATATACACTGATAATATCGGTGTACTTCACCGTAATATACACTGATAATATCGGTGTACCTCACCGTAATATACACTGATAATATCAGCTGCAATATACACTGATAATATCGGTGTACTTCACCGTAATATACACTGATAATATCGGCCGCAATATACACTGATAATATCAGTGTACTTCACCGCAATATACACTGATAATATCAGTGTACTTCACTGCAATATACACTGATGATATCGGTGCACTTTACCACAATATACACTGATAATATCAGTGTACTTCACTGCAATATACACTGATAATATCGATGTACTTCACCGCAATATACACTGATAATATCGGTGTACTTCACCACAATATACACTGATGATATCGGTGTACTTCACCGTAATATACACTGATAATATCGGTGTACTTCACCACAATATACACTGATGATATCGGTGTACTTCACCGTAATATACACTGATAATATCGGTGTACTTCACCACAATATACACTGATGATATTGGTGTACTTCACCGTAATATACACTGATGATATCGGTGTACTTCACCACAATATACACTGATGATATCGGTGTACTTCACCGCAATGTACACTGATAACAATTCTATAATCTAACCAATGACATCCATAAGCGTGAAAAATAGCCCATCATTTTTTTTTTCAGTCATTTGTATGAAATAATAAATGGAAAACTAAGGTCTTATTTTCGTGTAAGAAGTTGTCATTTAATGGAAAAACTGGTAATATATCGATTCAAAAGATGCATGTCGTAAATTATGGGGAAGTTTTATGGTCTTTGTAGTGATTTCATTGAGAAATATTCCATTTATTTGTTAGTTTTCAGAAGCCCTTACTCTTCCAGAACACCTTGTCTTATTCTCCTTTTACTTATTCTGGAGTAGCCGTATAATCTTTGTTTCTTTTTTTCTTATTTGGCATTTTTATTTACTTATTTTGTACTAGAGCCAGGTCTCAGTATTTCCTATGAAGCTAGTAAATACCCTGTCATTTATCGCTTCCAGGCATATTTTTCATGTTTCACCTGGACCTCTGTATCATGTGTCACCAGCTCCCTGAGCAAATATCAGGATACTTAAAAAATATCATTTCTCATTCAGACAAAGCTGCATATTAAACACATGATAATGGTAATCTAGTAACAATAATAGTCAGGGACTTGACTGTATTTATGAGAAGAAAATGAAATTGATAACCACGAGAAATATGAATTTGTCGTCATGAAACAGAATTCACATAATATATGAAAAGGAAACATGTCGAAATTAATCTCAAAACATGGCAAGATTGTGTTTTTTTCCCAATTCACTTTCTGTGTCTCTAAATATCTATATTATATCTATATTATATCTATATTACGGTAAATCTGATGAAAGATTATAAGAACCCTACAAAAAGACACACTATAAAGCAGTGAAGCATGAAATCACTCTCATGAGGTTTCTATAATATGTTGTTGTGATCCGTATCTTTAAACATTCCGCTTTATGGAGGAACCCATATCCGTCAAAATTCGGAAATTATATACATCCTGTGTTCCGCTTTGTTGGTCTTCCAAAACGAATCAAGATGGCGTACAAACCTTACGAAAAGCGACACCGGGATTTGCAGGAGGATGTGCGTCCCCCTAATAGTAGGCTTTTTGTCATCTGTGGAAAGGGTGTCAAAGAAGAAACTTTCAAAGAAGCTTTCGAAGAATATGGAACAATCGAGGACATTTGGGTCGTAAAAGATAAACGAACCAATGAAGACAAAGGTTAGTGTGACTATCAGCTATTGTAATAATAAATGCACGCGTGTGGCTATATCCAATATAGCCTATAGCCAGTCATAGAAACAGTATCACCGCATAGTCTTCATACTTCAGCTAATTAAGTCACACCCGATTTATCATATTCATATAAATAAACTCGCTCATTTCTATAAAAAGCAAACAACGCCCAACTTTGCGCAAAGGATGTCTGAACGAGTTGGCCATTCCCGGCGTGGCTGGTGCAAAACGATACGCTTCATTAAGCAATGCATTAGTTACTTAGTTCTTACAGTATCCTTTAAGACCGTTTGCAAATAAACAATATTGATCTATACAAACTCGAAAATGAAAATTGAAGGCTGTTCACTGCATGTTGCGAGACTTATTGAAGGAAAGCTACTCGTGTTGTCTATATACTCAATTTGTATTATATGCCCATATGGGAGATACTTCTAAGTCCCTGGCCTATCTTAAAAGTGTCGACAAGCATCGGAAAGCGTCTTGTTTGAAATATGATTATGATTCATCACGATATGAATTTTCAGTTTCATAACTGTACATAGGCCAACTTTAGTGATTTTGCTACAGCAAGATTGACAGTTTGGCACACATGTACACTTTTTCACACATAACATTGGTTGTAGTTAAGTGTCTTCAGACTGTATCTCCCAAAACAGTGACATCACAATATATTATGAATAGATGGAGAGTTAAATTATCCGAGATTGTTATTCTAGTATGGATATTTTGTGCAGACTGGCATCCGTAACTCAATTAAAATAGTTGTGTAAACATGCTAATCAAGTATTTAAGTCATTAAGCATATAAAGATTTGAGTTTGAAGAGACTGCTCTTGAGTGTGGGATACACAACACACAAGTGTACTGTTGACTATTGAGTGAAAATCAACTCTCCTTAACATACTGTAATAAAGTTTTAAAACATCAACATGAAACTTGGTACAATAGTGTTACTGTGATGTATTTTCTGATGTCACTAATTTTATTGAGTACATTAAAAGATATTTTCTCAAGACACTTGTCGCTAGTTGACACTATTTAGACAGACCTGAAATTCCTGTTTCCTATGTAAAATATCATCTTTTTAATTTGTTCATGTAATATAGTATCAAAAATGTTCCTCAAAAATCTACAGAGGATTTTAGCTTTAACTAATTGCTTTAAAATCATGACAAATTTTCTAGATGAAAATGCACAAGTTTGCATATTTGATTTATTTTTGAACACTAAATTTTTCTGTCTGAATATTAATGTCCTTGAAAAAAATGTACAAAAGGTAAGGAATGCAACTTGTATGTACTTGTCATAAAAAACATAAGTGATCAGGGTTTTCCATAATTTTGTTAGTAGTAGGCTGTGTAGTGAAAGTAGGAGGCTGGCCTGCCGTGTATGTGTAGCGTACGGAACTGGATTGGTGTAGGTGGCCAAATGATCAAAGTAGCTGGTCAAATTGGCTGGCGACCGGCCCTTATGGAAAACCCTGAGAATATTGTGTATTTCTCCAGTGATGACTGCACTCTACAACATCCTTATTGTGTTTTAATGGAGCTATATAGAACCATTAGATATTATCAAAAACCTTTTTGATTTGGCTTTCATGATCAAGACCAAGGTTGTTAGTTTATGTATTCTTTCAGTTTGTTTTTACTGACTAGATGAAGTATTATGATAGACAATATCAAAGAAACTCTGTAATTCTGAGGTCCTTTTAATCTCTGTAACCCCTTGTAATTCTGAGGTCCCTTTAATCTCTGTAACCCCTCGTAATTCTGAGGTCCCTTTAATCTCTAACCCCTCGTAATTCTGAGGTCCCTTTAATCTCTGTAACCCCTCGTAATTCTGAGGTCCCTTTAATCTCTGTAACCCCTCGTAATTCTGAGGTCCCTTTAATCTCTGTAACCCCTCGTAATTCTGAGGTCCTTTTAATCTCTGTAACCCCTCGTAATTCTGAGGTCCCTTTAATCTCTGTAACCCCTTGTAATTCTGTGGTCCCTTTAATCTCTGTAACCCCTCGTAATTCTGAGGTCCCTTTAATCTCTGTAACCCCTCGTAATTCTGAGGTCCTTTTAATCTCTGTAACCCCTCGTAATTCTGAGGTCCCTTTAATCTCTGTAACCCCTTGTAATTCTGAGGTCCCTTTAATCTCTGTAACCCCTCGTAATTCTGAGGTCCCTTTAATCTCTGTAACCCCTCGTAATTCTGAGGTCCCTTTAATCTCTGTAACCCCTTGTAATTCTGTGGTCCCTTTAATCTCTGTAACCCCTCGTAATTCTGTGGTCCTTTTAATCTCTGTAACCCCTCGTAATTCTGAGGTCCCTTTAATCTCTGTAACCCCTCGTAATTCTGAGGTCCTTTTAATCTCTGTAACCCCTCGTAATTCTGAGATCCCTTTAATCTCTGTAACCCCTCGTAATTCTGAGGTCCCTTTAATCTCTAACCCCTCGTAATTCTGAGGTCCCTTTAATCTCTGTAACCCCTCGTAATTCTGAGATCCCTTTAATCTCTGTAACCCCTCGAAATTCTGAGGTCCTTTTAATCTCTGTAACCCCTCGTAATTCTGAGGTCCTTTTAATCTCTGTAACCCCTCGTAATTCTGAGGTCCCTTTAATCTCTAACCCCTCGTAATTCTGAGGTCCCTTTAATCTCTGTAACCCCTCGTAATTCTGAGGTCCCTTTAATCTCTGTAACCCATCGTAATTCTGTGGTCCCTTTAATCTCTGTAACCCCTCGTAATTCTGTGGTCCCTTTAATCTCTGTAACCCCTTGTAATTCTGAGGTCCCTTTAATCTCTGTAACCCCTCGTAATTCTGTGGTCCCTTTAATCTCTGTAACCCCTTGTAATTCTGAGGTCCCTTTAATCTCTGTAACCCCTCGTAATTCTGTGGTCCCTTTAATCTCTGTAACCCCTTGTAATTCTGAGGTCCCTTTAATCTCTGTAACCCCTCGTAATTCTGTGGTCCCTTTAATCTCTGTAACCCCTTGTAATTCTGAGGTCCCTTTAATCTCTGTAACCCCTCGTAATTCTGAGGTCCCTTTAATCTCTGTAACCCCTCGTAATTCTGAGGTCCCTTTAATCTCTGTAACCCCTTGTAATTCTGAGGTCCCTTTAATCTCTGTAACCCCTCGTAATTCTGAGGTCCCTTTAATCTCTGTAACCCCTTGTAATTCTGAGGTCCCTTTAATCTCTGTAACCCCTCGTAATTCTGGGGTCCCTTTAATCTCTGTAACCCCTTGTAATTCTGAGATCCCTTTAATCTCTGTAACCCCTTGTAATTCTGAGATCCCTTTAATCTCTGTAACCCCTCGTAATTCTGTGGTCCCTTTAATCTCTGTAACCCCTCGTAATTCTGAGGTCCCTTTAATCTCTGTAACCCCTTGTAATTCTGAGGTTCCTACAATTTTATTTTTTTTGACTTTAACCTAGTGTTTTGGTGAATTAACTGTTCTCACATATTTTTGGAAACACCAAAAGAACATGTAGCCTTCAGGGTAAGTCATGTAAGTTAAGCATGCATTGCCAATCACACTAAAAGCATGCACAGGTGAGTGAATCTATTTATAGACTGACTGTTCTCACCTGTGTTTTCGCTGGGATTACAATACATTACACACAGATTTGTATTCAGACTGGCAAGATGAATAGGTGGTATGGTTAACAAGTTAAACAGTGATCTTTAAAACTATTTGTCAATGGTTGCTATAATAATGTATGTGTTTTTTTCTCTAAAAATAACATATAATAGCACATAATGTATATACTACCTGTAACAACTTTGGGATCATTCAACAACTCCAACATGATCAGGATTGTATAATTAGACTTTTTTTTTCTTTTTAATGTTTACTAGGATTTGGACAGGCATTTGTAGGGTCTAATTATGGGCTCCAACTTGATCATTCCCAATAAAAAATTAAAAACTTTCCTGTATTTCCCCTAATTAGACCTTAATTTTTCCAATCAGCATTTTGTATTTAAATTGTCTAAGTCCTTGAACAATTTCTCTGTGTTAAAATTCTGGAGGAACTAGGGCTATATTTTTCTGTCAGTTGGCTGGTTCTGTGCTGATGATATTTGAAAAAAAAAATGAATTTTCGATCACAAAAAAAATATTACTGTTTCAACAAATTTTGATTGTTGTATGTTGCACATTCCAAATTCAAATCCTCATTTATAATTTTATTTTACAGGTGTAGCTTACATCAAGTTTTCCAAGTCATCCGAGGCTGCTCATGCAATGGAAGAAATGAATGGCAAACAGTTGGAGGGCTCTCCTAAACCTATTAAAGTATGTAGATCAACATTTACCATTAACAGAAAGCTATAGATAATGTAAAGGGCCAATGATTTTTCGCGATCGCGGACAGAATTTTGGTTTTTGAATAGGAACGAGAATCCAAGTCAGAAAAACTCCCATATATTCATATTGAATTTGACTGAAATTCTGTATGCTTTTCATTCCAATCCCAATGTCTGTGCTGATTTTCATTAATTTATGGCATAAACAAGGAAATTGTTTGAACAGCTTGAACCGTGCTTCGGAAACATTAGCGACATCCCACACTGGACCAGTTTACGTTGGTAACCAAAGTCACATGGTTAGTGCATGTACACATCGTGATTGACAGTGGTGACAAGCCAAGCACTTCGAGTGTGAAAAAACGTAGACTTGATCCTATTAAAAAAGTCAATGAGAAATCTAGGGCATCACCGTTCCCAGATGACCTTTATGAAAATGACGACGATTTATTTTGCAAATTTTGCCAGTACAGCATTGATTTTACCAGAGCTGACATGGTCAAGAGTCTTATAAAATCCAAGAAACATGCTGAGAGAATTAGGATCTCAATCCATATTTGTTTTAATACTACTGCTGCAATATATTTTGCGATACTAGTCAGAAAACTAGTCTGAGATATCATATTCTAAGATTGTTTATGAGTTCAATTGTTCCAGTCAGGAAAATTTCAATTATCCAGTCAATAAAGTTTTGATGACTATCTGCTATGTCAGTGTTTGATCTCATGAAACCGATAAAAAACGGAATTCATGAAAATCTGAAACGGAATTGGTGCAAATTTGAAATCGAAAATCATTGGCCCTACATGTATTAGGTGTTATCATTCATGTGACTTTATTTTAGTTAACAAGAAACTTTGATCAAACTTTATAAAAAAAGGTTAAGTTTTAGAATTCCTAAGGCAAGTTGTGGAGGGGTTTGATGGTCAGTGTCACTAACTCAATATCTAGAAAGTAAACATCCAAGTAAAATTTAGTGTCATTATCCTAGAAACTCTGTAGAGACTTGGGTGTAACATTAATGGAATAATTGAAATCACTTGTTTTGAAATTTTTTTGGTATATTGTTCTGTTAAATATCTGCATTTTCGTTTGGATTATGTCAGGACAAATTAAAATCCAATACCGAAGGTCTCATAGTTTGACATTTGATTGGTACCAATAACTACCTGGAGCTACATCTTGCACAAAATCATGTATTACTTTTTCACTCTATGATAATTTTTTTTTTACAAAGATAATAAAATCTATGTGCCTAGATTCCGTCTTACTCTATTTCAAACTTTTGCCATTTTTCATTTGCAAAATGCATTTTAGTACAGAAATTTTTATTCTATCATCTTTGTGTCCCAAGAATGGCATGTTGGACATACATTCTGTTTCTGTCTGGTCAGATTTTTGTCATTGTTTAAGATTTTAAAGAAACCACTTTCATGGGTTTAAGGCTGATGTTTGTACATAATGTACAATACATATCATTAGCCCTCAATTGGTTTTTTACCTCACAAACTCGATAAGTCACTCTGTTGAACTCTGCGTTATTGGAGATAATAATCCCCAATATTGATAAACTTCCTCCTTGAATGGTATGGTAATACCTGAAAATGACCCAAGTGTAAATTTCAGTATAGAAACAGCCAGTCATAACCAGGAATTTAGAAAAAGAAAGTTGTTAGTGAAACTGGTCTAGACATACATATACCGTTTTCTAGATTTAATTGGGATTTATGACTTAGTCTAGACACAGATATTTCATTGCTGTTTGGTTTGAATAGTATATTGTAATAAACAAAACAGAAAACAAATACACATACTATTGACTGTATTTTCCACAGAATATTTTGTGTTTTAACGCTTTTTATAATCATTTTTTGTCAATCTGCTTGTTGTATAGGTTCTCATTGCCAGCAGTAAAAGGGAAGGATCTGTTCGAGATCCTAAGGAAGATGAGAAACTGCTAAGATTGTTTGTTATTGTTCCAAAGTCATATACTCGTGATGACCTGAAAAAGGAGTTTGAGGTAAGTGACTTGAGATATTTTTTTGTCAGATGAGACACCTTATTCTCAGTTTCAAGATTTTTTTTAATGTTTTTAATGTTATGTTATTTTCTATTTGTTAAAATCATGTAAACTTGATGTTTACTATAGTAACCATTTTAGTAAGACAAATAGAAATACAGACTTGTATTCTCTTCTGCAACAAGAAAGTAATGAAGGCAGCCACCGTGTTCCTAAAAATACATCTCTTTACTGAACACTTCAGTAATATCAGTACTTTGTACTGAAATGTTGATAGTTTTCATTTCATGAACATTTTATTCTCGCAGGATAATTATCGCTTCTAAGTCATTGCATATAAGTAAATATATTCACAGAGAATATGAATGGATTTTGATTAATTTTTAATGATTGTGTCAGAGTGAAAGTGAAATGTCATTTATGATAAATTTTCTGTTTGGTTAAGCAATTCAGACCACTTACAATGGCAGACAAATATTTCAGAAATATGGTGATGTGGAGAGTGCCACATTGGTGACCGATCGAGTGTCTGGGGAGTGTAAAGGCTTTGGTTATGTGCGTTATCACAGGGCCTACCATGCTGCCCTGGCCATGGAGACTTGTGATCCATGTACGTATCTCGGGAATCATTTTAGGGTTTTTTTTTTTTAAATTTTCCCATCATGCATCACGATTTTGTTGAGATTTTTCCATCATTCACCAGTGATAAATTTCAATATTTCCATAATCCATCATGTGTCTGTCAAACTTTGAACTTCCCTGTTTAACTATATGACTTCTTTTATTGATTTGCTGATATTTTCCTGTAAACATGTAGATGGCACTATCAAATTTTAGCACTTTGTCATTTTTTGGAAATCTAAAGATGATTTGTAAATAATTCAATGATGAATTTGTGCCTCCACAATAATTGCTAAATAGAAATTAAAACAAACTGCAAATGCTACAGTTATATTTTAGCACAATACTTTCATTACAAAAAGCACTGAAGTAAGATGACTATTTAATGTACATTTACAGTAGTCACAGTTCCATAATTAAGATGTAAACTCATTGAGATGTGGATAAAATTGTAACACCGGATTTGTCAATACGAAATAATTTACAATTCACTTAGAAAAATCCTACTTGTCTGTCCTATGTTTTTGGTATCAATACTTAAATGATTACTTTGATTGATGTACAGAGATTATCAAATGTATGTAAAACTGATAATTATGAAAAAAAATCCAAATGTTATTTTAATGTTGTTTTCAGCTTTCAAGCCAAAGTTTGCTGACCCCAAGCCAAGTAAGGATGATTATGACAATCATAATCGGCGAGATCGTGGCGACAGGGACAACATGTACGGAGGATACCAAGGGGGGTACCGTGACATGATGGGAGGTTATAACACCAGAGGAGATAGAGGTAAGTTTTCTGTTAAGGGAGTGACCCAGGGAAAATTATGTAGAAGGCAGTAACTATCAACAGGGTATTAAGGGTTGACTCTAGAGTTTAGAAAGGTAGGCTGTCCTTCAGATAAATCATTTGTCACAATAGCTAGTCAGGTTTGGTCACTCACAATGGTTTTGTACTTCTACTAAATGAGAAAATCTAGAAAGTTATTGAGGTCCTATCATATACAAAACATATCACAAAATGTAACCGGATTGCCAATAAGATAATATTTAAAACATTTCTTTACCAGTAACTTTCAACAATGATTTACATTAAGGTGTTACAAAATTTACTAAATCCTAAATCTGTATTTGTGTTGGACACTTTTGATTTCATATCTCTTATGCTGATATTCTGATACTTGCTTTTGCGAAAAATATCTAATATATAAAGAATAGAGAATCAAGCAAGATTTAAATTCAATTTAATAATAATGTCACCATGGATGATACTAATTGACAAGGGTTTATTTAGGTAAGATATTTTATAGATTTATCTGTTTCAGGTATGAAGAGGGGTTACCAGGATATGGGAATGTCTCGATTTGAAATGGGTCGTAGCAACAACCGAGAAGAGTATGGAGGTGGAGGTGGCGGTGGCTATTACCAGGAACCAAACAGGAGTAAGTTGGCAAATTTAATAAGTACACCACCTCAATAGTAAAATATCTTATATAGATAAAGGAGTTTAGATAGAATGATTTTTAAATTCAAATCAGTTATTGACAACATATGCTACAGTAGATATAAGTGTGAAAGATTAATCTGCTGATTATCTGTCTGGATTTGGATTGTTCATAGATTTCTGATATTGTGTTAACAGTGTCAGTTCCAACACCCTCCCAGCCCTTGCTATCTATGGGCAACAACCCCCAGCCTGGACCTATGGAAATGCTCCAGTCCTATCAGAGTCATGGCAGTACAAGACTTCACATCACAGCACCCATTGGTCTCACCCAGGGCTATCTCACACGCCTCTTCAGTCTCATTCCGGGCCTCGAGTACTGCGATCTTAACGAGACCACTGGTAAGTGTGGCTGTATCTAATTCATATTTTTAGTGTCGACTCATCAAACTGAAGTAATGTCCACTTCAAACAGATAAAAGTTAAATAGTATCCAAAATATTTAAGTTTTTGATCTGATTTCTTCTTTACAGATATCTGTTATTAAGTCATAAGTGATGCTTTTTTCATGCTAAAGCCATAATTCACCAGGAAATTGATTAGGAAGAAATTAATGGAAAGGATGTTTAACTGAATTGTCATTGATTAGGAAGAAATTAATGGAAAGGATGTTTAACTGAATTGTCATTGATTAGGAAGAAATTAATGGAAAGGATGTTTAACTGAATTGTCATTGATTAGGAAGAAATTAATGGAAAGGATGTTTAACTGAATTGTCATTGATTAGGAAGAAATTAATGGAAAGGATGTTTAACTGAATTGTCATTGATTAGGAAGAAATTAATGGAAAGGATGTTTAACTGAATTGTCAGTCAATTTGGTGAAAAATTCATTGATTTTTTTATTCTATGAATATTAAAGAGTTAAATTGTTCCTAGGATTTTCCATAAGATAAGAGGACAAGAGTAATGAGATTTTCTTATACTGACTTATCAATGGCAGCCCTTCCCTCTTCATGATAAAAGGTGTAGAACTCATAGTTATACTCAATTTTAGATACATATTCTGCCTGTTTTAGTGATCCTTGTTTCCTCTACTTCAGGTGTAGCTTATGCAAGATACACTACTGGGCAGTGTGCGTCTTACGCTCGTGACAAACTTGATGGTTTTGAATATCCCATTGGCAGTCGATTGATGGTGAGGTTTGCTGACGGACCAAGCACTGCACCAACACAAGACACACAACAGGACATGAGTGGTGGCTATGACAGGTAATATTATATATACAATCAACAGTTGCTCTACTGACTAGTGAATGGATTATCATCTCTTTATAATGTTGATTGGAAATATTGAAACAGACTCTGTCCACCCTTCCATTATATTGAGGAATTCCATGGTCCATATCTAGAAGAAAATTAAACAGTAATTACACTAACATGAGTGATACATAAGGACTGGAGAGTGTGTTCTACAGAGCGCATGCTGTAGATGCTATATCCACAAACATTTTTTTAGGTATCTGTGCACTAATTTAAAATCTGGTTTAGACAAAGTTTGAAAGGGAAGCTGTGTCTACATAGAGAATGTTTTAGAATAACGTCATTCCTCAATGCTTTGTAAATCAGCAAAGGATGTTGTATGGTATGTGATGTGTTTGAAAACTTTTTATGGTTGGGGAAATACTGATGATGGTGTCTTGTTATTGTGGTAGTGGGATAACTGCAAGTTACTTTGGCAGCAACAGAAATTTATCTCATTACTAAATTAAATGATGGGGGCTATAACAAAAACTAAAAGGATACAACCATCTGAAGTTTCATTTTACAGACATTGTCAATTCTTCATCAACTAGAACTACACGTCTCTTTTATCTCATTGCTTGTTTTTAATGTTACCAGTTATCGTGGCTACTGTGCAGCACGTCCAGACCAACACAAAGCTGAAGACATGATTCAAAGGGTGAGTACATTGTATATATAGACATGTTGGGTTTGTGTGTTGGTTAGAACATCTCGGTACATATATGCATGGAAGGACGAAAACAAAAAGTAAGTATTATAAGTAGGAACAAGAACTATTTTGTTTGGATTAGTCCATTTATTCTGGATTTATCTTCTCTGATATCATGAGTACACTAAATCCACAAATTTACAAAATAAGTAAATTTATTGAGTGTGTGTGTGTGTACTCATCCCATAGAAGGTATGGGCTGGGCCAAATTCCGTAGCCACCTATATTTTCTGTTGGTTAATAGTCTGGATGTTTGATGATGATGATTATGATGATTGATGTTTGATGATGATGATGAGGATTGGTGCTTGTTTGATACATGTAATTCTTTGCGAATGATAATGATATGTTATGTACAATTTAGAGTGAAAATGATGTTAGGCCCTTAAATTGTATGGCGTGTCTGTGTATTGGTGTGTGAGGGCATGTGTGGCTTTGAAAGGCTGCAAGTGAAACATTTATGTTTTGAAAAATCTTTGAAAAATAAAAAATTATAAAAAAAAAAAAATTTATTGAGTTATCAACAAAATCAAGTGTCCACTGATTATTTTGGAATAACCATGTAAATTGAACCCCTCAAAATATATTATTTTTTCAGTAAGTAAGCATACATCTTTTTATACCTTTTGCCAAACCCAGGACGACAATTGTAAACATTTAACAATGTACATCCTTTAATTATTACGGCTTATTAAGTACTTACAGCTGAAGTTAAAGTAAACCTTGATTTCAGAGAAGGAAATATGCTTAGTGATACCCCCAAAAAAAAACTGAAAGGTTATTTGTTCTGTAAAAGTCAGTGATGATTTATGCAATTATGATAAAAATTGAATTATATCATTTATATCTGAGAAGATTTTACTGATAGAAACGTTATGACGGTATAACATTTGGTAAGTCTTATCAATGATATCATCTATAAGTTTTTATCACAGAATTTATTTGTTCAGGTTTTCTTGCAGGCGGCCCTGATACTTGAGAAAGCTGGCATTAACCCTGACCGAGTGCTGACTGGCAACTCGGGGGCAGGACTAGGACCTGTAGGTGGGGATATGGAGAGGGTGGCATATACTTCCATACCCCTCCCTTATCCTCAATCCATGAAACCAGAGGATACAGAGGTAGTACAGAGACTGTTTATTGTTTGCCAGCCCTCAGGTATACCAGAGAAAGTTTTACGGGACGCCTTTTGTAGATTTGGGAATCTCATCGATGTCTACTTGCTTCCTGGTAAGTGTTAAAACCTGAAAAGTTTCCGACATACATTTATTGTTTCATTTACTGCTTAAGAAAGTTTAAAGAGGAAGCTTGTTCATAGACTTGTGCATTACACTTTCTTCTGTCAAAATGTATCTTCTTCCTCTACTGGTCTTAACTTTTTATTGTTAGGTTATCAAACCCCAAGGGTCAGAATGACCTATAGCCATTGTGTTTTGTCCGTCATGGTACGCCATCTGTTTTGCGCCGGCTGCCATGCATGATCTTTTCATTCAAATGACTTCTACTCAATAACCAAAAGGCCAAGGATGGTGATATTAGGCCTGTAGCATGATGGGATGAAGGGCTACGAGCTTGGTTATATAAATGACCTTGATATGCTTTCAAGGTCAAGGGGGTCAAATATGTTAAAATATCTAAACAACTTCTTCTCAATTACCAAAATGTCCATGGTGCTGATATTGGGCCTGTAGCATGCTGGGATAAAGGGCTTCGAAGTTAGTTCATCATGACCTACCGTCACGGTCACAGGGGTCAAATGTGTTGAAATGCATAAGCAACCTCTTCTGTGTTACGAAAAGGCCAAGGATCTTGATATTGGGCCTGTAGCATGTTTTTTCAACAAGCAATATGTCTGGAGTAATGGCATTTGTGTAATACATGTATGAAGAATATGATTTAAAGTTTGCAGAAAATATTTTTATGAACCAATCAGTGCCTTCTATGTAAACTGTAGCATAGTTGAGCAATATATTTTTGGCCTATTTGACCTCTTTCATATAGGTCTTTATAGTCAGATGACCCTTAAGGCCTGTGGGCCCCTTGTTTATCTTGTTTCAGTTGATGCATTTGATTAAAGCGTTTCAGCAGTAGTCATCTAGGATTGAATTAGAATATTTAACCCTGCTGTAGCTTTGCTATTGTTTACTCATCAAGATGTAAGAATTTTCATGAAGGGCCAAGAAGAATAAAAATGCAGAATATTGCACTTTGTTTATAAGAAAACAATGGCTAACTATGAGATTGAACCCTTCCAGACTTCACACTTGCTCTGTCATTTCATTCCATAATATTTGAACTGAATGATTTTCCTGGTCAAAGTTGCTAAATTTATGTGTGGAAAAAAAATCAAATATCTAAAGACTTGGGCTATGAACATTTGACATGTTTTATCTCAAAATAAAAGACACTAACTAAAACAGTAATCCATGTTGACAAAAAGGATCAAATCTCAAAATGAGAATATCCATGTAGAAGGACTAAACTGTCATGATGAAAATAGAAATAAAAATCCTCTCATAGTACTGCTTTTAACTTTTAGTGACAAGTTTTTTCCCCTTATGTACACAGCTCGTAATTATGGCTATGCCAAGTTTGCCTCCAAGGACTCTGCCATGCGTGCTATCCAAGTGTTACATGGTCAGAATCTGGCTGGTAATCGTCTGAAAGTGTTGGAGGCAGAGCCACCTAAAAACGAGCACAATGACAACGTAGGAGGTGATGAGGAGCCAAAACGACCCCGCTACTGAGACAGGTAATACCTTTCTTCCTTACCCACTCTCTCTCGTTCCCACTGTTCTACAGTAAAAAGGACAGCCTGTTTTCCACTTATTCTCAATCCAATTCAACTCTATATTTCCATCAAATCTGTGAAAATCGCTTTCTTGGTCTTCATTTATGTAAACTGAGTGAAACAGTTTTGTGGGGTATCTGATATATAATCTGTCTGTCTCCTTAAACTGGCAATTTTTCCTTACTTCTGTAGGGTAATCAAAGTGGCATATACAAAAACCATGGATGATACTGTACTTAATTCAGTTTTGCCCTGAAATCATCCTTTTAACAAGATGCACTTTAACCTCTCCTGCAACTACCTAATGCATTTTTGCCTATCTACTGCCTTTGACTGCTAACTGAGGCAAATTACTTCTTTTGCTCTGAAGACTAGACTATTGCTGTTTATTAGCTTTTGTTGTAAATTTAACTCCATCTTTTCTTTCTTCTTAAGGTAACACTTACCTCCGCTAAAACTTTATGTCCTGTTTAGAATGATTACATGTAATTTACAGTAGACATGAACTGGTTTTTTTTACCTACTCTTGTATCTGATGTAGACATGTGTCTTACTTATACAGATGTCTTGCATATACAGGTGTCTTGCCTATACAGATATCTGACTTAAACAGGGGTCTTACCTATACAGGTGTCATAGTAGTACAGGTATCTGATTTATGCAGGTGTCTTACAAATACAAGTGTCTTATAAATACAAGTGTCTTATTAATGCAGGTGTCAAACATTTAAAGGTTTTCTTACCTATGCAAGTGCCTTATAAATACCGGTGTCTGATCATTCCAGGTGTCTTACCTTTACAGAAAATAATGTTCTTGTATAAACATCACATGTTGATCTAGTGTATGTACTACTATGTACAAAAATGTTTTTTTTTTGGATATGTTATTTTTTTTTCTTCTAAATTTCATTTGAAAGTAGTTCTGTTCTAGATGTGAAAACAAGAAGGAAAATTTTTTGGTTTATTAAAAAAAATCATAAGAATTCAGTTAGTTCTTCAGATGTTTATTATGTTGCTTTACAAAAGACTTTGATTATCAGATGTCTCACAGATTTAAAAACTTTGTAACAGATTGAGTAAATCTTGTCCTTATACAAAACCTGTAGTTCTGATCATTTTAATGTTACTGGTGAATTCTGCATTCATTTCAGGCCTAACACTGTTAATTCTTCCTATGTGTTTATAAAGATGTTCTTGAATGTGTTTTGCTGAACCACATGATGGGCTGAATCCAACATTTGGCTGACCAATGTTGTAATAGACATTTTCTGACTAGTATTCTTTTTTACAGCTGACTGACCATTCCTGACACTGATTTTACTGACCAAGAGACTTGCGGATGACCAAAACAAACCGGACAATAATCTGTTGGAGCTTTACTGACTTGCTGGGAAGAAGACAGCGTCACTTGATAACGAAACTTACAAAGTTACAGATTTTAATTAACTTGATTGACTTGATGGAATTGTCGACGGGAAGTTGACAATTATCAACAGGAAGAATGACAAATTTCCACGGGAAGGTTGACGTTTGTCGATAAGGTTGACCTATTGTCGACAAGGTTGACAAAAATTCTGAAAGACTAACATTACCTGTTCATCTTAAATGTAGTAATTCAATATTGTAATGAAAGAAGATTTGACTCAGTTTACAATCAACCTGTGCAAAGTTTAATGATGACTACATCAAAAGATTGTGTTTTAATCAGACTTTGTAGACCTGGCCAAATCCAAATGTATTTACTAAAATATGACTTCATTATGGACTGAAGAACAAAAAAATTCATATTTTCTGTCACAGAAGAAAAGTAGAGAAACTCATCAGTTTTAAAGACTCTTATTTCATTGGTAACAAAATTTTTGTTTGATAGATGGTTTTGTAGATAGGAAAGGCTTTGTCAGTTTATCCACTTACCAGTAGCATTACTTACAGTGTAGCTTTTGTTGTGTAAGTAATCAATGTACATGTTGACATTCTGGTGTTAAGTATCAGACCTCTTCTGTTTTCTGATTATTATCACTGTACATTTGTCATATTCATTCTCCACATGGGATTATACTGGAGATATTCATTCATAAATCATTGTTTTCAATTGTTTAACAATTGCTGAATTGATAATGTTTTTAAAGACATATACTACATGTATCATACTCCAAATTGTAACTCTTTTTCCAAAAGAGTTTGTCTTTCCTGTGTAGTTCAATACGTAGTCACAGAAATACATTTAAGAGTGCATCAAAATGAATCAAGAATAATGTCCTGACCATTTAATTTTGAATTATTTTATAATCAGCTCATAACATTTGAAAGATGTCTACTACACACGCCCAGTTTGATCTATAGAATGATACCTGAATTTTTGGATATTATGAAAACAATTCATTATATATTAAGTGCTATATGAGAAAATCCAACATCATCTGATGTATAGACTACACTAAACAGGGTATTTATCCACATCGCACCAAAATTACAACTTTTATAGATGATATTAAGGCAGTGTTAATATTTATGGTTTTTATGACATTGTATATATCATTGATATTCATGAACATGTTTTCAACATCCTGGTACACATCTTAACATCTTTACATTCAGGACAGATTTGGAAAAATGGGAAACAGTGACCAAAAAGCTACATTTTATCATTCTTGACAAATTGAATTTAGTTTCATATATACATTGCATGACATTGGTTTGAAGAACTTGTGATTGATATTAATCGTTAGTCATTTTGACCTTTGATTTCTGTATCTATCATCTGTAATAATTAAGAATGGCAGTCCATTTTCTTCAACTATAGACAAGTACAGCATGGCTCATGTTTGATAATTATTTTTGTCTTTTTTCATTTAATTTGAAAATCTTTATTGTCATATTGTTGTTGAATTACAAGTTTTACCTGTCTCTGGTATACTAAATATCTGTCTGGTTTTCCAAGTGTCACTTGGAGTTGTTTTTGGTGTCAGCTCGTGAGTTTTTACAGTGTTGTATAAGTATCATTAGTTAACTAGGTCATTTTGTTAGGATGGACATACATATACTGTTCTTGTTTGGTATGAGCCTATACTTACTGTGTAAACTATGTATGGGAGGATGTGTGTTGTACTATTCTTCAGGTCAAGGCAAGATGGTTCTTGTGTTATATTGGTGACTTTTCAGAATTGAACATACCCTCATAGTGTTGGGCCAGCTCTTCACAGTAATGGCATTCGCTGGACAAATCAAGCTTTTTTGATTGAATTCTATGTATAATTTAGTCCTCCTATAGTCTAACTGATTTAATGTTAACATATCAAATTGCATCGAAACATTTCCTGCACATCACAGATATGTATTGTGTCAATTACATTACTAACATGTTGAGATTGCTCCAGTGCTCTCATCATTGTATAGAATCAAACAAAACAAGTATATCGGACAAGATTCAGAGAATCTCCTTATTTACAAAGTGATTTTTTATTTGTCTATTATTTATGAAGTAAAATTATTATTTCTATTTTCAAGTATTTGAAATTTTGATAGAAAAGCAGAAAGTTTTTTAATATTTTTGGTGAATATGGTTTCAGGAAAATCTTTCATTTTCTTTTATGATAGAGAAAAAGTTACTGATGACATAGTAATCTTCGACTTGCTCGTTTATGAATCATTATTGCCATGATGCTTTGCTGTATATTGGTTAATGTTCAATGAGAAATTGAAAAGGAATCAAAGTAAATGAAAATGACATGCGTTTCCTTGGCATCTAATGAATTATGCTTATGTATGAGATGATTCACTTTGTACTTTAAGTATGTGTATTTTTGAAAACTTCAGTGGTAATAAAATTTTATGGATGACATACTTCTGAAGGACTAGTTCTTTTGTGAAAGAGACCTTACCAGATTGAATGGCATGTACTTTTTTGTCTGTAACGAGACCTTAATTCAGACAAATGAGAATCATTGACAGAATCATGAAACAAATCAGAAATCTGTAGTTGTACCTATGTTATTGGTAATCTTAATTTAGTGAGATATTTTTTTTTTGATGATATTATTGTGCTAAAATATGCAGGTTCTGTATGTCGTTAGCTATTACAGTTTGTTAACTAAAATACAATAATGTCAAATTAAGTCTGTTTACATTATGTTGCCGTAATTTATATACAGTGAAAAGAAGCTGAATCACATATGACTGACTGCGTTTTAAATGGTTTTTTTTTCTTAAAAATTTCAAGCACAATCCCTCTGATAAATGCAAAAACCTTTTAATCTCACAATTGAAAGCCTTGTTAAGTGATTTTGGGAATATGGAAGTGTGACATGAGGTACTCAACAGCCAGAAGATGGAAGACAAGAAAAGTATCAAGATGACTTTCCTAGGACTACGCCTGTTGACGAAGGAGACGACTTTCTTCCACCTGTTGACTTCTTGCACACACACCTGGTGGTGTAGACCTGGACAGACTTGGAGACAATGGCAGTACCTGTGAAGTACACCTGGACAGGTGACATCAATCAATCATGTATCGGAGAATCTGTCTTGTGCAGAACTGTTTTTAAGAGGACAAGTAAAGTTGTGGTTGACTTTTATGTATGACATCGACTCTTTGTATAGTTCCACAAAGTAAGGGTTTAGGTTGATACTGTTATCTGCAGAAGGTGTTATGTATCAGATGCTTCATTCATTAGTATAATTCTTAGGATATTAACAATAAAAATCACTACAGAAGGGTAAATTTGATTTATGAATTGTTACTTTTTAAATGATATTGCCTAAAAAGTCGCCTTAAGCTGTTATAAACAAGATGTACAATCGTAGGTTTAAACATTCTACAATATATTGTCAGTTATATGTAGTCATAATAAGTCCGGTTTCTGTATTGCAGTTTAATGGAAACTATAAAGATTACAACAATCAACCTCATGTAGATGAATTTAAGAATTTTATCTCTACTCTTGTATTGAAATATAATTTGAAAGTGAATTAGAGAAAGAAATTGACAGGGTGCTTTTATAACATTTTAGGCAACCGCAGATTCTGAAGAAAGAATATTTGGTACCTAAGGAAACATAGTGGTTGAATCCTTCCTCGGTACTTCATTGGAAACTAGTCATGTTACTGCTGGTCAGCGACTGAAGAATGATGGAGTTTCCGTGACAAACTGGTAGATTTACTGCTGGTCAGCGACTGAAGGATGGTGGAGTTTCCATGACAAACTGGTTAGATTTACTGCTGGTCAGCAACTGAAGGATGACGGAGTTTCCATGGCAAACTGGTAGATTTACTTGTCTTGTCTGACTGCTGGTCAGCGACTGAAGGTTACAAAATGGATTTGTGGCAATGTAACTAAAGAGGAAGATTTAAGGGCAATCTTATTGTGATAATAGGTATGTTTGCTATATATGATAGTTAATGTCCTTTGTAGGGGTACATTTGTAGTAGTCTTATGTGTAATGCCATGACCTACATTTATAGGTTCACCTATTTTGATTAGATTTAGCTCTGATTCTTTCAAAGAGGCAGTTACCATATGTTCTTTTTCAAAGTGTTTTAAGATGAAATGTTCTTTGAAACAAAAGGACAAGTACTAGGATCCAGGTGTAATGAATTTTCCTTTTGTTTTGCAGACTTACCATCAGGTCAATTTGTTACCAACAGAGACATCTGTCTACATGTGTGCAGTGATATTGACCAACTTGCCATCAGGTCAACTTGTTACCAACAGAGACAATGAAGTAATATTGGTCAACTGTGCCATTTGTTCTGAGATCCAATTTCATCACAAACTATGGCTACTTTAGTTGTTTTGTAGAAAGATTAAACTCTCTTTGGTAGCTTATAATTTGCAAGTTTATGGCCACAAGAAGCTATGATGTGCACATCAAGAGGACTACAGCTCGACCAGCATTTTCACTTAGTATCTGGACATTGTCTGCTCATGCTTGCATCATTAAAAAGTACAGCAGTCATTGGTTCGTGGTTGAACAGCGAGACTTATCCTGTGATTCTCTCCAAGTAATCAACAACATCAGCAAAAAAAACAATCTTGGTCAATTTTTTTTTGGTGGGTTGATAGAATATATATCAACAGAAATTTAGTTCATTTATTGAAAATGAAAAAGATCAATCATTTTAGGTTAGATTGAAGTAGAATATCAATTTGTCAAAGTTAGGTTTGTAAATTAAAAGTTGATGAAAAAAACTTGTAATTCGATGTGATGTGTAATGAAGACTTTATTCATAAATAAATAAATAAGAAAAATAGTTTTTTTTTCTTAGCAAGAACTTGCACAACAATTTATCACAGACAATTAATAAATATTTACATAAATTACCAGATATTTTCAACATCGATATAGATGGACAACAGATACAAATTAAATCACTTTGCATTCAAATTTCATCCATTAAAAACAACACATATTGTTATAATTGTGTGCATGGCATTATTACCAGTAGAAGAGACTTGCATAACTAAGGAGTGAAAAGTAAATTCTGAATATACATGTTCATGATGAAGTGCAATCTTGAAGTTAGAATTCTATTCAAATAGAATTGCCTTACACATTGCAAATCATCAGAAATGTTTGGAAAGTTTTTACAAATCTTTCTAGATGGTTTGCATGGCTTTCTTGCCATTCAACAATCTGTTTCATGAATTTGGGAAGCAGTTGTTGGTTTGAAAAGTATTTATCCACTTTTAACAATGCAACTTAACCAAATCTCGCTACCTAAACAGTATGTGTGATAATCTGAAGAGTTTTACACCCATTTAGTTTCATCTAGAGCCTGTGCTACATCTTATAAATTACCTCTTTCCAACACATTCAATGTATCATTTGAAAATCTTTCAGGAGATTAATGGGTATGTGGTCACAAAAAAACAGCTATTAATGTTTGTACAAATCATCTCTCTTGTTTCATAATACCATCGTGCGACTTAACCATATAACATTTCAGGATGCACTTTTTGTTTCAACACAAATAAGAACTATTTGCAACTTTTTCTTTGAAGGTAGTCATATTAAATAAAATTCAAAATCCCCAAGCTTATGTATTTTATCAGTTATTGAAATCCTCCTGGTGTATACCCCTGCAAAGTTTTGAAACTTTCTCTACCACAGCAGCCTGACTGCAAAGACCAGTCGTCCGAAGTGAGTTGATGAGAAAATCAACCATGGATGAACGGACAGATTTGCCTCGCCATTCACACAGGATTCGAAAGTTAGTGTTGGTAGGCTCCCTGTCGCACGCCGTTGAAAACTTCTCCATGGTTTCCATAGAGACTCCCATCTGAGTACCAAGACGCTTGCATTCTGCGTGAGAAAGTTCCCGTGCCATACACATCAAACTACTGTGTGACAGAACATTCTTGGCAGCTGTAAGCAATAAATGTATACAAATATATGTTAGAAGCCCATGAAAAAATAGAAAAATATGGGAAAACAAAATAATGAATTTTTGTTTTTCAAATCTGATTGGTATGCCATTTAAGATCACTTCAGATATTTTTCTTAAATTTTTCTTTCTTTAACTTTAGTTTTATTTCAAACTCAAAGACCAATGACTATTTCACTACAAAAAACTGAGTTCCAGGTGAGATATGAGAAGCTAACTTAACAGAAATAGCGAAGACAAAAAGTATTACATCATTAATTGCCACTAATTCATCATATCTATGTTTGGACGAAAGATATTTTGGAATGATATAAATTTTTCGAAACTAATAACGCTAACACAATGCATTACATATATTTTTACTTTAATAAGATGGTACAAAACTGAATAGCACCTATTGATACAACTCTAGATTTAGATAAGGAAAGCTAAACGGTGAATTATACTTTATCATACAGCTATTTCGTCCTTCTAGGACTCGTCAGTGATGCTACATCACAGTTATTTCATCCTTCAAGGACTTGTCAGTGATGCTACATCAGTTATTTCATCCTTCTAGGACTCGTCAGTGATGCTACATCACAGTAATTCCGTCCTTCTAGGACTTATCAGTGATGCTACATCAGTTATTTGGTCCTTTTAGGACTCGTCAGTGGTGCTAAAGGCTTAAATCTTGAAGACTAGGAGAGGACTATGGAAAATTCATAGTGATTGGAAAGAAAAGCCAAAAGTTAGATGTGCACTAGCCCCACACTCAATAATTTTGTAATTTATATATATATCTGATAATTAATAACGAACCATTCCATATGCCAGTGTTTGTTCTGTCACTGTTTTCTTGATAATAACAGTGTAATGACAGTTTATTTTCAAAACCATTAAAGAAAACGTGGCAGTCTACTCTACCTTCATCTCTGTGTTTGAGTTCTTCCCTGGAGTTGTCCTTGTCATGGTACTTGGTAGGAGGGCGAGAGGTAATTTCGTCTGAAACATCAAAATAAGTAATGATGTAATGCAGATCCCTCTGCTGATAGTAAACTAATTTACTGGGAAATGACAAGGAAGTGATGATATATATTTAATAGTCAATGATTGTGGGAAAAAAGGTACGTGATGGGTTATCAACATCTGAAATTGTTTTATATTTTCATAGTTTGAACGTGTCTAAATAAAACAACTCCATTGTTCCATTTCTTGGTCATTGTTACATATTGTGACTTGTTATGTCGCTTTTCATCATCTAGAAGAACTGCACAACAATAGAAGAGTTGAAAACAAGAATTGTATCATACCTGTTGGTAGCTCCGTAAGGTCCCGGATAGGAACAGATACTGTGTGACACGTTTGCCCGGATGTAGCGTCTTTGAATGTAAATGTAGCGTTTGGTGGTTTGTCTTGGTCTCTCTTGATCTCCAGTGGAACTTGTAAATGGTTGTCTGTGTTTTCTAAATAAGTTAGGGTATATTTATCCCTAAGTGGGGCTCCAACCACTCTAATTTGACCATCTAATTGAATGATCAGTGTTTCACTTTGTCTGATGATAAGATCTTTCGACCTGCTGGATTTGACCTCAATGAGGTTGTGCTGCGCGTGTTCTGACGTAGCCTCTGGAACCCTACATTTTTCCAGTATTTCTATCCAGAATGTTGTAAGTCCACGGTCTTTGTCACGAAGCGTATTGTCAATGAATGTACATAAATTACAAAGTTTTACTTTTCCAAACATCACGAGGAATTCTTTCTTTAATGTGTCTCTCATGTTGAGAAATATTTTCTTTATTCTTGCTAATCCGATGCTTTAAAAGAAAAAAAATGATAGGTTCATCAAACATTTTATCAAAATATTTTTAGTGTTTTAAATAAATCATGACTTTTGTTCCAGAATCATTCATATGTGATTATGTCAATAGATAGACCATATATGTTCAGTGTCTTAAAATATCAACTGCATTTTGGCGAGGATGAAGAAAGAAAAAAGTGGCGAGCCAGTTTTGTCTTTCTGTCCCGAGCCAAAATGCAGCCTATATTTTAAGGCACAGATCGTGTATTCTATTTATCCTGCAACATTACTTGAAAATGAGACAATGAAAATTTCAACAGTTTTGTTATTGAATTTGTGTTTACCTGACATTGACGATGAAATTTGCCAGATGGCGGACGCCAAAATAATTGTTCCAAACTTTATCAGATATAACAGCAACTTTATGAATTTTTATCAACAGACTTGTTCATTACGACATGTAAAATCGCTTATTTCAACAACTATTTATATTTTTAAACGTAATAGTTAAGTAAATTTAGAAAGTAATTCTGTCGAATTACGGCACGTGCTGAATAAAATATATTTTCGAATTTATAGGGTATCCACACCTTCATTGGACATTATCATCAAATGAAGATGCAAGTGTACTCTTAAGTCCGATGTCGAGGATATGATTTTCCTCATAACATATGATTTTAACGGCTTAGAACCAACAAAATTGTTTATCGTCTTGGCTGGATTTTACAAAAAATACCTAAGTGGACATGACTCTGTAATACACTTGAGAGTAAAATACGGTGAAGCCGAGATAAACACACATCTTACACCTATTTGGTCCTTCTATGTCTCATCAAGAATCTGGGGTAACTGGAAATCAATAAAGATTTACTGATCGTAATTGCTGCTTTATCAAATTCATTGTTACAAATCAAACGTGATACTTACCACCAGAGACCTCGTGTCTGGACACTGTATACACCGTGTTCTACCTGAGTGATGTGACACTGAGATTTATCCATCACCTGAACCTGGTCATCTTTGTACCTTATGACCACTAAATGTGTGTCCTTGCCATCATCGCTGTCATCTCCATCAATGGTAAGCTGAACGAGGATGTTTTTCTGGATGTCTACGGATGAGTCCTTAGCGGACACCTCAACAGCATCCGAAACCGCGAGTATTCCTAGAATACCACTAGAGGCCTTGTCTTTTGAAGAGGGTCTTTCGTTAACATTTTGCTCAGCACTCTCTGCACTCACAAACTATAATTTAGAACAAACTCCATAGGAAAAGGAACCAAAACAAGACAATTTATTATCCTCTACTACGTTTAGTCAGCATGGCTGATAACCAGGAATCTGATGCAAAACTCGGCACGTTATCAATATATTTTTTTCAAGTACAAAATACTGTGAAAGCAACTGCCAAACAATTTGTATAGGTCCTAAGCTATGGAAGCAAACAAAGTATAGAAGTTACCTTCACCAAGACCTTTGTGGGATCTTGTACAGCACCATGTGGAAAGTTGATGAAGACTTTTGAGTTAGTTGGGGATTTAAATGTGCAACCTTCCGGGACTATTTCCTCTTCGTCAGATGGTTCCTCTACGTAGGCATATACCGCTTCTAACTCATTTGTCTTGAACGAAACTTGTACGTGTTCTGGAAGAACTTCCTGCGGTAAAGAAAAGATAAAAAGTAATTGTTTAATGCTTATCGAAGTTTATATTTTCCACACAAAGCTGTTCACTTATTTATCTGTAATGATTCATGAGTAATGTCAAATATTTTATGATTGTAAAATTGTTGTGTTTTAAAAAATTCCGACCTTTCTGTGAACCTGATTCATCTAAGCTTAAATATTCCTATGTTGACCACACGAAAACGCTTTGGTAAGATCATTATACAATGTACGTATACTGCATAATAAACTTTACGAGGATAGACAAAAGTCTTAAACAAACTATAAAACACACTATAAATTTTGATTTACCTTATCATACTTTTCTAATATAGACCATACTCCTCCCTTTCTGATTTTGACTATAATTCGACTTGCGGATCCCTTAGGAGGAATGGCGGTAATCTCCACCTCGACATCTACAGTTGTCATCAAGATCCCATCACTGATGACGTATATGTCTGATACTAGTGTCTGGTCTGGCGTTAGGTTGATCTCTTCCAGCCATTGAACCCTGTCCTTCATATCACATGCGCCAAATCGACATTTGGCAAGCTCTTTATGTACTTCCGGTCGGTAGAAGAGTCGGGCGTTTAGATCTGACGTGTCCTCAATACAAATAGTCACTCTGAAAATACAATCAGTGTTGGTAGTTTAAATCATAGAAGTTGTCCTCCATCGCTAAATGTTAGGAAGTGTAGTTTAGTGTATGGTTGAATCCGCAGAAATATGAAATAATCCGTAGACTCGTATCTAAGTGTCGTAGTTCTTGGGCAAAGCATTTATACTCCACGTACTCTAGATGACATGCGACGTGCCTCTCGTATGTTTAGAGAGGTAACCACCCGCTACTGCAAGGAGATACCGCTTCAAGACTTTTCACATGGCGATACAATCAACAAACAAACAAGGTCTTAATCAGGAAGAAGATGAGTGGTAGTCATAGGCTTATGATCAACTTAATATGGCTTGAATGAAGAAATCCTGAAAGTACGGGAGGATTAATACTGAATACTTAGATATGGCTTCCAATTACACAGATCCTATGCATTTACCAAGACAATCGAACGAGTCATTTTAGCGCCCTGTTATGTCCATAATTCGCAAGTGGCCTCTGATAACACATATTTTAGATTAACATCAATCATTTAGATAATTTTTTTTCCTTTAAAGCATTTCAGTAAATTTCAGTAAATGCATTGTAAGATTTCAAAGTAAAATATTTTAAATTTAGATATATATGATGAACGTTGTTTTTCAAAATACAAAATGGCGACTGTTCATTGCTTAACTAAACACACACTTACTTTCCCGCACTGATGACGTCTTCTGAAAACTTGGCGTACTGCTGATCAAGTGATGTAAGAATTTCTGGTGTTTGAGGTGGTGGCGGTGGAGGTGGACTGATAACATCAACATATACACATGAACACAAGTCTACCAGTTATTTGACTTTGTTTTTTGAATATTGAACTCGTATATAAATATTGAAACCTCTAATATGTATTGACGCCAACATACAACATTGTTTATGTATGTTTACGGTTACATAAAGGATATTGGTTACTGTTTACACCTTGTTTATCAATTCGTTTTCTCTCTAACTTAAAAAAGCTACTGCTTACACTTCCTGTTCTGGTTCTTGAGGATCCTCAGCTTCCTTTCCCTTCTTAACCCCTTTCTTATTGACTTCATTTTTCTTTTCCTTCCCTTTGACTTCTTCTTTCACTTCCGGTTCCGTCTCTGATTCTGGTTGTGGAGGAGGCGGCGTCTCTTCGCGTGCCTGCATATCCAGTCTGTGACAAGATATACAATAACACCATTAACAGTAAATTTGATTCCTGTGATACATTTCTGATGACAGTAGAAACTGTGTTACAACTGTGTTCTGGAAGAGTCAGCGTCTTCTTTTACGACGACACCCGTCATGTAAAATATGGTGTTTCTTCGCATAAAATAATTTCACTTTCTTGAATGAAAATATGATTAACAAAAAGAAGCCTAATGGGCCTGCAGCGCTCACCTGGTATATATATATATATTAGCCATATATAGGCGTTTTAGTTCAGGAGAAGAAGATATACATAGACAATCTTCACTCACTCCCGTCATTACTGGATAGGAAAGCTTTTCTTCATATTTATTCATACCTTATATTGTCTATATATAATCATACCTACCCTGTCGATGTCTCCTCCGTGACACCCTGGAGTTTATCAAACATCTTGCTTAGTGTTTCACTATATTGTTTAAACCACTTCGATTCAACATGACTGAAATCAAAAATGAAAGAAACATGATGAAGTGTGTGATGGTGATTGTACCTGGATGCTACTGCCATATTAATGACCAATTACACTATGAAATTATTGTTATGTTTCTAATTTGATCTCCGCTATACTTAAGAGTTGCCATAATGCGGCGAAAAACAATCATTTTGATGCTTTGACGACCACGTTGCATGTTGAAAAAAGTGGTCGACATTGACATTCATGTTGATTCATGATAACACAATATGTCAATTTGATAAATTTTATGACGAGTGTTGTATATAGTGGATATTCAGGTGCGCATGCCGAGAAATTTTCACCTTCGCATCGTCCATGGGAGGGCTAATTTAAGATGTGGGCGAAAAATTGTTAAACTTATTTTATCCTTTCATACAATACCCAGAGGTCGAAATTCTTGTATAATGGTACACATCGAAATTCACATTGGGCGAAAATATCTCAATGATCAGTAAATTTCTTTTATACATTGCAGTCTTGTATATGCTAATTTTTAATGTGTATATTTAAGTCTGCAAGTTACTTTGTTTATACCAACCCATTCGCTAAAAGTGGCTTAATGACAAAACATGACACGTGATTTAAACTGAACAGAGACCACGTGACCATCTCCATCATTGCGTCTGCCGGTCCCTCCTCGTTCCTAAAATGGGATAAAGATTAATCAATTTAATCTGCCAAGACAATGTTGCCAAAGTAGCATATTTTTAAACGGTTTGGGAAGGTCCATACAATTAAAAAATACCATAAAGAACGGTTGTTTGAAATTAAACATAGATATTTGACTTACGGTTTCACGGCATCTATGAGTTTAGACAATGATGAACAGACTTCAGTTGATTTGTCTACTGCACACTCCAGGAACGCGTCCTTCTGTCTATGAAAGAAAAACTATAAATTTATCAACACGCCCATCTGCTCAGCAGCATCCGAAGATATGGCAGACTTTAAGTTTATATATATATATATATATATATATGAACTTTATATTTCTTTATATCTATGTATATTCGAAGAATTTATTAACATATATGTTATCTTTTACATTTTTTGTACCCCATTTATATCTCTGCTCTGATAAGAATCTTTCTGTATCCAAAGGAAAAGACTTATCTGTTTTTATCGTCAGTACTCACGCATCTGGGACCGGAAATTTAATGACGTCATTGGTCACAGTGATCATTTTGACACACATGGCACACGTAGATGATATTTTTTTTGACAGCTCCATGTACTCGTCTGTGCATCCCCAGTTCCTGTCAATTAACACAATTGCTAATCAATATAAACAATAAAACATATTTCCTTTAATCTAAATATATCCTTTAACAATAAATTAATCCATAGTTTAATACTTTTTTTCACCGCTGCCTATATTTTTTTCCCACATTATTTATCTTAAAGACACAGATTCTTCAAAATGGAAAGAAAAAAGATGAACTTTATGTTGCTTTTTTAGAATCTTGTATAGATTACAAATCACAAAACAAAAGGATGCATCAAACACCGATAAGCACTCTGGTTCAATAGTGTACAGATTTGACAGACTTGAGGTGTAAAGATTCGCCCTGTCTTTCTATTACTATGTCTATGGACTTGTTGAACGACGGGTACTGAATCGACACATAAAAGAAATTAATATTGATATTTTGAAGAAATATCTAAACGTTACTTGAAAATGACGATTTGGCCAAGTACATATTTACATGGAATTCGTGTGAGCTAAAAGTTTCCTAGTTGTGCTGGAGCTGGGATAGACACATGTTGATCAACCCTTTGATTAAGTATACCGTTCTTGTGATCTTGCTTAAATGCGCAGTTGTACTATAGGATGTACGTGTACTTTTACCTGTGTAGGCAGGCGTCTAGGTACATATTTCCCATATCATGCGTTAATTACCTGCAGCCTAATCACGCTCAGATTTCTTTTTACTGTCCGCTGCCAAATTTTAATGTGCTATCGACATGCACGATATCAGAATGGAACGTTTTCTATAAACAGTATTATCTGACAAGCGGATGATAGACACCCGGTGTCGGTTGGTAATTTTATTACCCCGGAAGTCTTATATGTTATTAGCAGTGTCAATGCCGTTTTGTGATGGCTTCTATTGTTTCCAATCGATACAATTTTTCTTTTTATGTAATACTGTTTTGGAACCCAACTCCAGGCCTACAGCATAAACTGCTCTTTTTATAAGACAATAAAAGGTGATCAAGCAAAGTTAATTCTGCCCAATTGGACAAAACGTGTATTGAACAAAAAAGTGAAAAAAGTGAAGTACTCTATTTTCATTTTCATACATGTCTGAAGGAATATTCATTTGAACTGGAAACCGATATATTTAAAGTTCATTCTGTCACAACTGATCTCATTCGTGATAACATTTTGTTACATTGCCTTTTGTGTCTTTTGTGCAATCTTTAACATATCCTTTTTTAAAAAGATAAAAGGCAGCTATATAAAAGATCTACAAGCGCTGAAGGCAACTTCATCCACGAAAAGAGAGAGAGGGTAGGTACACAACATGTACCCTATAATCCACTCTATATGGATATTGTATGTTTCTGATTTATAAGAATATTGACGTAACATACTTTTAAGACAAACTTTTGAGACTGTTTACCTCCAGAGTTCATCATCAATCATGTTTTAATCATTGTAAATTCACAAAATTCAAACAATCAAATGAATTTCCAATTCAAATTCTTACACTGGTAACATAGTCATAATTCAAACTCGAATTCCATGAAACTAGGAAAAGTATGAAAAAACGAAAGATTTACATGGAGACCTTGGTCAATCCAAGTAAGTAATGTCACATTCTCAAATGAGAACAAGATATACAACAACACAACAGGCAAACTAACGAGCAGCAAATACGTCCAGCTTCATGTTGCATAAAGAAACCAAATATTTCTCAATGATATCACTCTGGCGACCATTAAGCTACCCATAATGTTCATCAACATACATCGTTTGAACCCTTGTGTTACGAGTTTGTCAGTCAGTTGACGACATGGGAACAGGCCCTTGAATATCGACTCAACTGTGATATGTAAATATCACAGGTTGGAGATGCAGGAATAATGCTATCCAGAAATGAAAAAATCACAAAAGGGAAATTCATTCTTGCATTGAACGGCTATATGTCGTCAAAGTGTCCCCTACATATACCATTTGAACACATATCGCATTATATGCGTATAAATTCATTTTTTCACAAAATATTTTTCTTTTTTAACAACATAGGTAATCTCTCGGTCTTTTAAATGCAGTCAGACTTTTAAAACCTCTCCGTTTATGGGCGAATACTATTCGTTTGGCCTATATGCATGAATTATATTTTTAGGTGTTTTACTATGTGTCTCTCGGTACTTTCTAACGAAAGATGGCCACCTTTAATACAGCTGCTTACAAAAGATTCATAGTCAGTATAATGGGGTTATTAATATACTGCTTACCCAGTTTACCAAATTAAAATCGTTCGGACAGGTTTACATATAATTTTATGTATACACACTGCAGTGAAATTCAAAGCTACTCTACATTCATAGAATATATATAATATGTTTATCCTCATGAAATACGCTAGTACTAAAATTTATATAATTTTGTACCTAATTACAATTTGCGGATATACAAATGCGACGGTTAAGACTCCCAATGACCTATATAAATATTAAAAAAACCACCACGAAAATAAATTAATTGACGGTACAGAAGGTTAATTTCCTGTCTTTTTTAAATGAATTGCATACCAGAAACAAATACAATGGAATTCTACACGTCGAAATTAAGTTTATTAATCAACATATTGCTGAAGCCGTGACTATTATGATAAACGGTTTACTTACTGCTTGAGTGTGATGACACAGTCCACTGTGAGTCGGACACAAGCTGACCATAAGGTAGTTATGGCCACACAAGTCTTTTGGTAGTACCTACATATAGAGAAGAATAATTAGAGTATTAACTTCAATATTTCTTTAAACACATCCAGTCAAAAAAATTATGTACGATGTTTTGATGATTACATGGTCACCTTTATCAAACAAATAGGCAGTGCGATAAATAATGACCTCGCTAACCTGCAGACACGATATCACAATAAAACATTTCTTATTATGAAAATCATATTATTATAACAATTAAAACATGATACTTCAGATTTAAAAAAGACGTCTTATCCATCACAAAATTTTCTAATATCACATTAATACAACTTTTCGTATAGGACAACTTTGTGTAAAGTTTATGAGGGGTAAACTTGCTCTATACCAATACATAAATATTCACGACCATTTATAAATAATTGACACATAAACAACCGCCATGTAGAATTTCGATACATGAAAAGCAAACGTATTTATATCATTGTCAGCGATAACCGATACTTAAACCTTTTATCTGTTAAAGTTATTGCATTTTTTTTTATCTATTTCGTTGACCAGATATAACGTAATACCAACTTTTCAGCTTGTTCTGGGTCTTCAGCTATGTTAGCACTCACATCCATGTATACTCCTGTGATGTATTGGATCACAGTTCGAAACTCGTCAAACACAGATGACAGTTTGGAGGCCTCTCTAGCGCTGATACTAATGTAGGGGAAAATGTAAGTAGAATGCCATTGTTTAATGTCATTTTTCGAACATTCTGTTTTCCACAGCCATCGATAACAGATTGTGATATATATATATATAATATTAATGTTAACATATTTATTGTTTAACTGCAAATGTATTCGTTGAGTTGTAAACGTTAAATTCAGGTGATATCATATAGATTGAACTCTTATTCTGTAATGACAACAAAAGATTATAAAAACGTGTTCTACATTATACTTGCAGCTTACCTGTCCATAAGAATCATTTTGCCTTTTACTTTTGTACACGCCCGATATGCACTAGGTAAGGCGAAATCCTCTACCCTTCGCCAGGCATCACTGCAAAAACGAAATGTGTACTTATAGTGTTTGTGTTTTTATAAATCCATTTTGTTTTCTATATATTTGTCTTTTGATAACTTTATTTCTGTTCAAGAAAGTGTAAATGAGCCTGCCTAATGATCATTTAAAACTCAAGAAGAGGATTCATATGTCAACAAATCGTTATTCAAATTTAAAATCGACGAAATGAAAAACATTTGACTGTTTCGGAAGGGTAAGCGTCTACTGCCGATCCACAATACCCGCCTTATGAATCTAGGTCATTCGAAGTTCCGTTTAGAATAAAAACCAGTTTGATAACGAAACCATTCGGGCATACAAAAAGATGTCGTAATTTTCATATACCAAATAATTTGAGAAGAACGTGAAGTAGACGTAAAACCTTTTAAGTTTTAATTACTATGTTAAAAATATTAGTGTCGATCTGTAGCAAGCAAGAATATCAGGGATACAAAACGTTTTGATAACATTGTAGCTCTTCTAGTAAAAAATAACGAGTATTGTGACATAATTACAGCATATGTATATGTGATTTATATGCATGCCACGTTTTAACTCGTTCTAATAATGGCACGGTTCAGAATAATCACATGTATTTGACGCTGTCCTGAAATTGTTTGGTTTATGAAAATTAGGAAATTATTAAACTATAGGGCTGCTGCACCTCCCTATCTAAATTTTGACTTTTCTTTCGATCATTTTGGATTTCTACCTCAATCGCCTCCTAATCTTCAAACTTTAGATTCTTAGCATCACTGACAAGTCTTAAAAGAACGAAATAGTTATATTATGCAATTTTATTCATTGTTCGGCTCTCTTGTCTCTTACTGTAAATTATTCTATTAAGCTATTCACTTAGGTGTCTTTTGTACAATCCTCACGATATTGATTACGGGACAAAACCGTATAATACAATATGACTGGTATTGACATTCTAATCTATATACGATTAACAGCAATTAACGCCACATTTATCCACACCGATACGAGAAGTTATGTATGAAAGTTGTATTAACGTTGGTGCTATTTTTCCCCGCAACCACTTTAGTACAGCAAAGCCACTACGATTATGGCATTTTCTAGGCATTGTTTTTTATATTTCTTGAAATAATGATTGAAATTATGATTAATTCTCATTAAAATCGTTATTTATTTTTTTGTTAAATGTTTTAAATAGAATGAAAGCTATTGCATTAAGCTGACACCGCTTGATTATATGGTCACATTTGTGTGTGTATGTCAGATCCAATACCTGCGTATATGGGTCAACTGTGCCGGGCACACGTCAGTGAAAAAGTATACTGAAGTTCCTAGACACACCCAGATATGTATATATTAGCCTATACTATCCCGTCATCAAACCCTTCACGGGCCAGATCAATTCTTTTGACAATTTTTGACACGTTCACTCTCTAGATCCGTAATTGTAATCAGTGCAGGTACACTTTATACTACAAGTGATTCAAATACTTATATTTTCGTAGACTTTAAACTATGTTTCGTCTACATTTATTTACTTTTGACTTGTAAAAGATTTTGTTTCTGTATGATTTGTACATGTATTATTCAATAAATGTATTGAACGACCTATATAACGCAAAATAAAAAAAACTATATCAACGACCTAGAAAGAGGGTAGTGATACAAAGCACCTTGTCTGTCTCTCTGCCTCTCGTTCAAAATTTACGCACATAGCATCACTGACGAGTCCTAGAAGGGAAGGACGAAACAGTGAGATACTTGCATACAATATCTTTCCTTGAACAAACATAACGAACCTGGCCTATAGGATTATAATCAATGTTTTTTTTTGTGATAATATGCTAACGTCCCCAGTTGATATATATATAATATGAACAGGTGATCACCTTGTTTGTTAATCATTTTGTGCAACGCTTATCTTACATCTAACTTGACACTTCACCTCCACAAAAATAATGACCATGTTAACAAATGTTATGATAACCTATCCGGTGATGAAACACATGATTATCAGAGCACCTTGTATACTTGTTCAATTTATACACAAATTTATGTCGCCCTCGAACACATATAACTGGAGGAACCCGCTTTAATTTGAAGTATCAAGTTGGTTCATTCAGAATAAAGTATACTGGCTCTTCTTTTACTTTTGTAGATTTTGGTTTTAAACACTTAAGGTGATAACAGGAATACCCTTGGCTGAAAAGGTATTATAGATCAAAATGCTTCATGACTTTGAGGAATTAATTTTCATACGAAGGCATTGTATAGCTACTTAAAATGATGACACAGTTGTGCTGAAAAGCACTAGACAACTGAAATAAATCCTAGATAGCTAAGTGTCAATGAATAATATTGTAAATTCCATATCGATCAAAGACCAGTTAGCTTCAAGAAAGTTTTTTTCTTTCTTTTTAGCGAAATACTGAATGATCTTTTGCATTTCTTTTTTCAAGTAACGCTGTCAAAACTAAACATGCATGTCTAGTTTTCGCCTTAAAATTTTGTTTTCAAATAAATTAATATTTGAGTTTATTTATAATGAATTGTTAAGATTACCTGTGATGCTAGGCAGTGAGATACGATCTAGGTCGAGTCTGATGTTACGTTTATCATACATCCACGTAAGTACCATTTGGTGTACAGCTATGTTCTTACAGAATACTAATAAAACACGTCACAATACCAAACTTTATTGGTCTATCGACATTTCACCTCGGACAATTGTGGAAATTGATCCGAAGTCAGAATTTGCACTTGAGCCCGACCACTTTCATTTATGATGTCAGATATTTAATAGGGGCTATTTATCACGTCATTTATAGGAAATTATACATAAAGTTCTGATTTGTCTGTGCCAGCACATTGTGAAACAATAAAAGCAGTAAAAACACATCTAATACATGGTATTATCCACTTAAACTTACATGGGGCTCACTAAACCTTTTCTGTGAAATATGAAACTATTTCTAACTAGGAAAATTCTTTATGCTCGTTTATATAAATAAAGTTTTAACACCATGGCAAGTCTCTAATCAATTTAAGATTTGAATTTGAAAGTAATTCTATAACAGAGGAATTTACAAAGGACTGTGCCTATCTACTGCATAAAACAGCGGAAATCTATTTCCATGCCGGTGAACTGTGAAATATAAATGTATTTTGAGCTCAGAAAATTGGTCAAAAGTGATCCTTGATTGCAATGTGCTTTTAGCACTCATTTTCTTCATGTAAATTTATTCATTGCGCTTTAAACTTTCTTTTTCTGTACTCTCAGCTTTGAGGAATAAAGAATGATGATGATGATGATGATCACGTCATTTATAGGAAATTATACATAAAGTTCTGATTTTCGTAAATATATAGATGGACCGATATCAAAGCAAATGGGGTTTATCCCTGATATCCTAGCAATCTTAACCAAATATGAATTATTAGAATGGATACAGTATTATATCCTATGCGCAGAATTCCCGTCCAAGGCTCAATGGAAACTTTTAGTTAAAGGAGCTATTCAAATACGCGAAGATCGCTTATTGATCGAGAGAATGAACAGTGATGACGAATTCGTTCGATTTCGATCTGTCCACTCTACCTATAATAAGCCGTATGTCATGCCCAAAACACCGGACATCGACAAAAGGACAGTCCTTTATATTTGTAAAATGCTAACGTGTGTTCCTGTAGAACAGTACAATACATGTACGTTGTGTAACAATCCGTTTTACGACACAATAAGACATTTTGTCACAGAATGTACAAGTACATTTATTTTGAGAGACACATTCATGACAAAAGTCGTGGATTATTACGGTGTACAACCATATTTGATCATGTCCAGCCTTGCAGAAGAACTCCTGCTCCAGACAATATTTAGAAGGAACATTTCGGGATTTGAATTTGAAAGTAATTCTATAACAGAGGAATTTACAAAGGACTGTTTCTATCTACTGCATAAAACAGCGGAAATCTATTTCCATGCTGGTGAACTGTGAAATATAAATGTATTTTGAGCTCAGAAAATTGGTCAAAAGTGATCCTTGATTGCAATGTGCTTTTAGCACTCATTTTCTTCATGTAAATTTATCCATTTCGCTTTAAACTTTCTTTTTCTGTACTCTCAGCTTTGAGGAATAAAGAATGATGATGATGATGATGATCACGTCATTTATAGGAAATTATACATAAAGTTCTGATTTGTCTGTGCCAGCACATTGTGAAACAATTAAAGCAGTAAAAACACATCTAATACATGGTATTATCTACTTAAACTTACATGGGGCTCACTAAACCTTTTCTGTGAAATATGAAACTATTTCTAACTAGGAAAATTCTTTATGCTCGTTTATATAAATAAAGTTTTAACACCATGGCAAGTCTCCAATCAACTTAAGAGTTAACCACATGTGACTAAGGCCGCATATTTAACACCACGCCGAAATAATGTAGTTTTCAGGATACCTTTCAATATCATTTGCTATCTTTTATCGAGTCTCGTGAGAATTTGACACTGACCTTGGTATAGAAAACTCCTCCAGTGATTTCCATATCTTTTTAATGTCCAGTGCCAAGATGACAGTCGGATCATCTTTCTCTTCCGCATATCTGTAAATATTAAAATAGGTCATTATAAAAGAAGTTTAAAATATAACAGGCGATGTTATCACAGTTTGAAAATACAAACAAATGAAGAATACAACCAACCAATTCATACATACATACATACATACATACATACATACATACATACATACATACATACATACAAACAAACATAAAACACATACATACATACATACATACATACATACATACATACATACATACATACATAAAATAAAACACACACACATACATACAAACATACATACATACATACATACATACATACATACATACATACATACATACATACATACATACATACATACATACATACATACATACATAAAACACACACAAACATACATACATACATACATACATACATACATACATACATACATACATACATACACACACACATACATACACACACACATACATACATACATACATACATACATACATACATACATACATACATACATACATACATACATACATACATACATACATAAATACATACATACATACATAAATACATACATACATACATACATACATACATACATACATACATACATACAAACATAAAACACACATACATACATACATACATACATACATAAAACACACACACACACACACACACACACACACACACACACACACACACACATACATACATACATACATACATACATACATACATACATACATACATACATACATACAAACAAACATAAAACACACACACATACATACATACATACATACATACATACATACATACATACATACATACATACATACACAAACATACATACTTACATACAAAATGCAGTTTGCAAACAGACAGCATACTTGAAAGAAAGGACGACACAAGATAATACTTGCCAAACACTCAGCTTTCTTTTAAGTATACGCAGTATATAACACAGTTTTATTAAGACAAGAAAATGTTATAAAGCCCGGACAAATCTCACCAAATGTGAGGCAAACGAGAAGGACCGTTATGTGTCTATCTCCTATCCTTTTAAAACAGGTTTGTTTCCTTATGGTTTTCGCGTATTCCTGTCATTCCTACAGTATATTCCATACCATTGTATGATCTTAAACTAAAGCATTATTTACGACATTCAGGTATAACAGTAGAGGACAGACCAATGTCAAAGACTTACATTGGTTCGAGAATTTAACCTCGTCAAATATTTAAATAATTTAAATAATGGCCAAATTTTCTACCATTTTACTACACAATTAAATTCTCGTTTTATATCTAGAGCAGCAAAGAATTGTTATTTAAATTCCTCTGAATATATCGATAATTGGACGAACATATAGCAAATCTGTTTAAATATCCATTAGCTTTGGGATGTATACATTGGTGTGAATTTATTCGACAAAAATCGATCGTTTAAAGTATTATCTTAAATGGAGTCGGATTGTATCAACGATATCAGGTAAATTTCGGAATGTATTTATAAAATATTTATATAACATTGTACTTTTATTATGGACGAGGCACTCAAAGGCAAATGATTGATGTTTCATTCTCTCCTTTTGTGTCGGACTTCAAGCCACATTTAAACTGGCTATTACCCTGGATTATAGGATTTACGACAAGAAATGGCCATTTTAATTCTCTAAGAGGTGGAACATAGTAATCAGTTCGGGCCGTGTACATTGTCACCTGACTACAACATTGTTCACACAGTCTACAGATACGTACATTGCTGATATAGATATACTGATCTATATTGCCCTGACAAAATGGTATACGTTCAAACTAGTGTTGCTCTTTGACAATAACTTCAGGGAAAATTATACATTGATAAATGTAGTGACTCTGGTTTCCTTTATCTAATATGAACCATTTGATTACATCCTTGAAAATATTGAAAAATAAAACCCCTCGAAAATAACCTTTTCAGTATATTTTAACAAATCATATCTTAACAGATCATATCTTAACAAATCATATCTTAACAGATCAGATTTTGAAAATCGTAATTTAAAGGTCAGTTTTGAACAGGTCAGATTTGAACAAGTCAGATTTCAACAGATCAGATTTCAACAGGTTCTTCAACTTTCAAGATGGACAAGATATCTTATCAACGATTTGGCAATACATGCTCTCAAATCTTGTAGAATCAAGAATTTTCGATTAATGTCATAATTCGATCATAAGTACTTCAAGAACATTAACCAATTTCATGTCCCTTCACATGAAATAATCAAATGATATGTAAAAATCATATTCACGTCTTTTTTATAAGAAAATGAATAACACGCAAGAATACCCTTGTTTGTCCGTCATTAAGTTGTAGATACTCTTAGTGTAAATACACTATATACGTGAAATCAAAACTTGGATTAACAAGGTGGAATCGTAATGACGTCATATATTACTTAGCTGTGTCAATATTGACTGACTGGCGATTTCTATTTCATGTAATGTTTAATCACGTCTGTAAATGTCGTATAACGGTGTGTTAATATGTAAGTGATAATACATCAAGGTAGATCACATTTACCTGATACATGGTAAAACTATTTAACGTAACATATGGATGTGTACTCATATGACTCTGGTGTTGCCAACACGAAACATTGTGTTTGATTACATTTTGGAAACTTCTCAGTTGATGAACTTAAATATAGCATAGGTAAAGTTTTCTGCAAGCGATAATATTTGTTCTGAAAAAAAAAAACATCTATTTCACAGCGAAGGTTAAAATCAATACCTAGCGGCGATATAGGCAAAGTATAGACGCCCGAAAGATCAAACAATAATTGAGGAGAATGTCTCTGCAATGGCGCTTCATATATAAATTAATGTACAGAAAAGGCCAACCACCAGTTAAAGGTATATTTGGCAGTTAACGCAGGCAACATTTCATCTTGTTCCATACGAACCCGAAAAGTGGAAGGTTTTTTAAATTCTGAATGTCATGGCAACACACCTATATATATACATATATAGAAAATCAAAACATAACCATGGCAAATAAAATTGTATGAAATCGCTAACGTTTTCCGGCCTTGTGGCCATCTTCAGGCATTTGAATTACGTTACATAGTAACCCATATTGTGACGTAATCTTACTGTTTCAATATAAGGGGAGTTAATGACGTTAATAGTCCCAGCGCAATTGGTAATGTGCGTTGAGGGACGGATTGAACAGTTTAACAAAAAAGTCTTCTTTGCTGATTCGCTTTGACATTGTTACTATGTGACGTAATTCAAACGCCTGAAGATGGCCACAAGGCCGGAAAACGTTAGCGATTTCATACGATTTATTTGCCATGCTAATGTTTTGATTTTCTATATATACGATACACAAAGCTTTTATCTTTTTTGAAATATATATATATATATATACATCAGTTTAAGTCTACTTCTGTCCGTGTTGCCGTTGACGAGATTATGTAGAACGAATCACACACTTCGGTGTTGGGTAGTCCTTCATTCATTGTTATCCCGCCACATCACCACCACCAATAGAATGACACAATGAATCTTAACTCCAACTCAAATGCAATAATATTAGGTCAAAACACGAACAAAAGAAAGATTTACACGGACACCGTTGCAAATTTACAAGTAGAATAAGACAATGTGTTCCGAAGGAGTAAGCGTTTTCTGTTTCATACACAAGCATGATCTTATATATGATATGTTGAATAAATCGTCCAGTGTCTTTATGGTTGTAGTTTTATGACTTGTTCCGGACGAATAGTAATGTCACGTTCTCAAAGGAAGAACAAGATTTACAAGAAAACAATCATCAGGAATGATAACGAGCGTCGAACACATCCAACTTCACATCACAAACGGAAACAAATATTTCCGAATGAGATCAATGTGATGATCATAAAACTTCTCAATAGTTTTAATCAATCTCCATCACTGAAATTCCAGTGAAATTGGAAACATGCTTTTCAACTATAGAATCAGGTGCAACATGCAGGTAAGAGAGGTAGTTATAACTACCTAGAAATGGAAAATTCATAACATTGAAATCATAACCATCACGTTTATAACTGTCCCAGTTGGTTTTGTTGTAGAAAAGATCGCGGTAAGCGGCTGTAGAAGAGTCTGTCGTACCCTTGTTTTCCTGGTAGGTATATGCAATTGTTGTTATATAAAGATAAGACATGATCAATATATCATAGAAACAGATTGACTTTGCATGTCCTTTGTTACCTGTTTTGATAAACTCACCCTTGTAGGAAAATAAAAACAGCTCAGCCAAGAGATTAAACAGTTTGTTCATTTAAACTAATTACTGTTTGACATAAGTTGTTGAAGGGTTTACCATCAAACGCAATGCCAACTTGAAATTCGATCATTCATTAGCATGAATCTTCTCTTTATCGAGCGGCCTTGACAAGTGGAACAGAAACACATTTGACAACAATATACACTACCGATCTTTCTTTTTACAGTGAACGTCTCCTTCCTCAAGCCAGACTTTCAACTTTCCTACAAATAATTGCTTATCATTGTCCAAGCTTCTGATAGAAACAGGTCAAGTTAAATTATCACAGTTGTTGCCAAGTACATTCATTTGACTTTGTCTTGATAATACAGTCTACAAATCGACATGAATTTGACCAAAAGTTGAGTAAATTTTACACATCGACTTGTCGCAAAAATTATCTTAAAAAAACTCGTTTTAGAGTAATTACATCGAAAATAACTGGATTGTGGGAATATGAGGATAAAGTGATGGATACAATTTTCAGTCCTATCTATCAAAATTTTACTGTCACTTACTTTTTCTTTGCAAGACGCATCTTCTCTTCTAGGATTTTCCTGAAGTAGAAATAGAAAACAATCAATTGATTTAATCAGAAAACGTCATATACACGGAAGACAATATCCTTAAGAAAGCATGGGATCTGGTTTGTTCAAATAATGGACATGAATGCTGATATTGATGTAGAGACGGGATGAAGTACCGATAGACTGTTTATTTTATGCCTCGTGTCAAGTTCAGTAAGATGTAGTCTTCAATTTATCAAGCTAGTGTTTTACGATAAACGATTTTGGTTCATGTTCTGAGTAATCAAATGCGGTTATGTTGACGGCATGTGAAAGTCGAGAGAAAATTAAAAGCGTTCCAAACATTCCAGTAAAGGTGAGAAGGAAAAACACTTCCGTACGATGTTTTTTATGATATTTCTTCGTAGTATTAGTCCTTATATTGTAACGTTTGGAACAGAATGACTTTTATCTATTTTATCGTTAACTATGTTAATTAATGAGTCTTCGGCATTGACGATAAAATACATATTTCACACAATCTTACATACAGTACCATAGTGACGTATCATAATGACGTCACACTAGTGATATGACGTCATTGATTCAAACACATTGTTTTTCAATTATCTTGTGGAATGAAAATTATTTGAAGCCTATGTCATCTCCTGTCTATAGAACACCTTGCTCGCCTAGGCCTGTTTACTGTTATGTATAAGCTGTTACCTGTTTGTCTCTTCTTTCTTTTTCATGTTAGATTTTTTTCAAACATTTGTTTTAGAATAACATGTTTTTGGAATGAGGGTCAAACAATAACTTTTTCATTTATCATTTTCCTAATAATTGAAAAACAACTAAATAACTAAACATATACAAGAGAAAAATCAAGGTTATATTGGCGTTTTAACTGATATCGATATCTTAACAACCAGTGTCTATTACAATGTTGCTTTTACCTATATCGCTGTAGGTAGATAAATTAAAGACCATGAGGAGATGTAGAAAAAAAAAAAAAAAAACTAGTAACAAAGGATAAATTCTTAATTAATCCACAACAATGTAAACAAACCTTCTGTTGTTTTCCATATATTTTTCCAAAACGTAGGCAAAATGTCGACCGTCCATTTGGAATGTCCATTAAGTCACACGTATATACACTAATTTAAGTATCAACACAAAATAATGCCAGCCTGTAACTAGACGCTAAGGGATCAGGCCTTTTAATCTAAAACCCTACCTAGGCTTACTATATAACGACACGCTGTAGAATTAACAGCCTATCATTAATGCGAACATTATACAGGTCCATGGTAATTGTCTGGTCGTCTTTTGAAAGATCTTGCATTTCTTCATGGTAAATTATCTGGATACTTTATACAGCTGTATGATAATTTTCACTGGTTGTTCGTTATAAGATCTCTTTATATTCAATATAATGTTCTATCGGGAGATTAATATTTATACAACCATAACAAAAAGTAGTGTACAGCTTTAGAGTTGTTGAGAAGAACTGAGAGAGTGCACGTGACAATGTCACTGTGGTTTTAGATTTTAAATGAGCAAATGGGTGAATTCTGTTCACATAAAACAAAACCTAGTCTGTAATTTGACAGAATAAACGGATTTTTACATGATCAATGCATTTATTTGGTTCGTCGTCCCATCAGCAGTCAGAGTGGTTTAGAGGCAGGGTCGCCTTGAAGGAGCTGGCGGCTACCTCGCTGAACGACATACAGAATGCTCGGCGCATGCCATTCAGAGCTGCTGATCGGTTAAGTGTCTTCAAGGCACAGACACGCTGGCACAGACCGGTCCGATTAATATAGCTTCTTGAGAATCACAAACCGCCATTACGATCAAATGACGATGGTTTAATTATAACCGAGTATGTGTGAACTAGACGATCGATATTTGAGAATCAAGAATATAATAATTAGCAAGAATGCTGTCTTCAAAGAATTGGCAACTTCGGGATTTTGTAAAGAAAAACAACTCACAAACCGCGACCATTGGAATGTTGTGTGAGGCACAAGAACACAATACAGTGAGTATATTTGTGTATTGTGACATCTTTAGTACACACACAAAAAAAAAACAATGCTTAAAGCAGAAAGAAAGAAAGTTAGGCTTTATTTAACAGGATTTGTGAAAATCAGAAAAAATCTTCCCCAACCCTCTTCCGTGTTTTTATGTGTGGCATATATTGTTGATGAAATCGATTTGGAAAAGTATCAAACTATCTACAGTAACTCAGTGTCAGTGCAGATTTCTAGTCACATCTCGATTTGGAAGAAATTCATGATTTTTATTTCAATTCAATGCTGAATATGTCTTTAGTATAGACAAGGTTTGTACAGTCTTGGCAGGCCGTGAAGACTGTTTAATTGTCCAGAGTAACTTTGATTTCAGGCGCGTGCCGATTAGTGGATTATAAGTTAGTTGTGGGTATGGATCAACCTGTCGAATTTTAATCCATCTCTTGGACTGAAGTATAAATACACACGGTGACAAGAATCATTCATATACATATAAAGAAGACATCTTGTTAACTTTCCTGATACAGAATTAATTTTTTTTCTAAAAGATTTCGTCCCAAATACAAAAAAATGCTGTATATGTATGTAGCGGAAGCCAATTTTCAGCTTCTAGTGTTATTAATCAAATGTAAAGTTACATTCCGTGTTGTGTCCTTCCCATGACAATAAAATGGGTTATCTCCCTTCGTAATCCATCTTAAATCTAAACCCCAATTTGCCCTTAATTGTTAACAGGTACATGACGTAGATTGCCTTACACTGGATCACGGTTAAGGTAGGCTGGTTGGGAAGGTAGCACCTTAGTTAGTGTTGGATACATATAGTTCTCTCGCCTACTTCGACATAACGAACATTACGACAGTTTGGTGAGGCATGGATAGTATAGTCATAAGGATATTTATCATATTTCTGATTAACTAGTCTAGTCTCGAGGGGAAAATAGTGTTATTCGTGTATAGAGGTTTTTATGGAAGAGAGTTTGGAAAAGGGTGAAGGTATTCTAAAATATATTATACAGAGATTTGTGTATCAAACTCAACTGGTATAAACCAAATACATTGAAGTAATAAACAACTGGTCATGGGCGTGTATATAATGTATATATATATATATATATATATATATAGATATATTGTCTCTCAGTTGTAACACAAGAAATACAGGATGATCTCGATAAATGTATAGACGATAGCTATTTTTCTACATACATCAGAGTATATTCTAATTAAGATTTTGAAAAGTAATTTTGAATGATACTCAAGTTATCAAAATGATATAGTAGCCTTTTAATACTATAATACTCATTAATGATATATTATATATATTATATATATATTATATATATTTTCGTGGAAATATTTAGAATTAACAGCGAAAAAATCTCGGTAGTGTACATCCTTCACTTAAATTAAACAGAAATACTGATAATGATGTAATTATCGGGAAATGACACCAATATCAATGTGAGTGTAACTTAAATGTGACCGAAACAGGAGAAGGCTAGCTCACACCTAGAAACTTTGTTATGACTAAGTGTCATTTGATAACAAATTTAAAAACACTGACGTCACAATTTGTGTGTCAAACGAATATCGTGATATTGATTGGATGGTACGAGTATCTTGTCCATCGCTTCTCACGACGTGACGCGCCGAAGGTATTATTTCGACTTGGAACCAAATCAAAATATTTCATAAACCCTATAATCAATTTCAACCGTGTCGTGAAATAGATTATACATACATCGAAGATGTTTAAAAGTTGTAAGGTGATTAAATGTTTTTCATCTCAGAATATATTACCAATGAATTTCAATGAATATTTTATGTTGTGATCAGCTCTAATTAGACTTCTAAACATGTTCAATAAATTCATGTTGTTCAATAAAATATATTGATAATTAAAATGATCACATCTAACTACCTATTGTACTTATTCTATAGGTAGGTACAGACTACTGTGACATGTCGGTTTGACATACATATAACGACGACACTTGACGCAATATGTATGTCAACGCGGCATACGTATCTCACAAATATGTCTCCATGGGGTAAACATAGTTTGATGAAGATACTGATGTGACAGACTGCATGTCTTAGCACCAAGTATTTTGTGACAAGCTATCTATCTCAGCGAGAGGTATCTGTTGACGAACTTTATGTCCCGCAACAGATGTCTTGTGACTTCCGGCGGAAAGCCGACGGCAGATATCTTGTAACTGATTTTTTGAAAACGATGGTAAAGGTTAGAGGTTATGATGTTAAGAGTGGTGAAATCTGAATACATATTTCAATGAGACGCCATGATCTACATGTATAAATTCAAACCTTAGGTTAGGACAATATGATAGAGACAGTTATAGCCTTGCTAATCTTACGTCTTTTTAAAAAGGCAATCATCTGCTAGTACAGAACAATATATGATCCTTGGAGCTTTTACAAACTGGATTCATTCAGCTGTAAATACATATCATTTTTTTTTACCTTTATCCACAATTTGCACCAAGAACGACCAAACATTAAACAACTGGTGTCATTTGATTTGAAAATTCAATATCCGTCATTCAGTTTTATATAGGAAAGGAATTATATCTGGTAAGCGTGTCGTGTTGCATATGTTCCACATGACGGCTCGTGAGATATCGAGTTATTATTGGAAAACTGAATCTTGGTTATTAATTATGTAAATACATATACACTGATCGATGCAAGTAAGATATATATACTAACCATAGATAATGATTTTTATTTTGTCATGTCCCTCTTGAACAAAGTTCGTCTAGACTTAAGCAGAGGTCAGTGGACAATCACATTTATTACCAGCAAATATTGAAGATCCTTAATTTGTTTAATTCATATTTCAAGATTTTCACTAACTGCGCTAATAAAGCTTTGAGCATCTCGGACCAAAAACACCGGCAAAGAATTACTGGATATATTGCGACGGGAACAGTCAGTGTAATTTTGTAGTAGTGACTACCACACTGAACAACATATAGGAGGCCCTATACATGGTTCCAGAGCAATTAGGGGGATCTGTTATCCAAGAACACACTCATGTCAGCACAGACCGGCCCGTTTCTTAGACAAACCGCCAAGGGGAAGGAGGTCGAACCATGCACCACGGGCGCGAGGTAACGTAGGTAAACATTCTAACCGATTGAGCTACCGCGCCCCCTGTCGATAAACAAATCAATACACTAGGTACATAAACTGTTTACGTGTAATATACATCGACAGGCAAATAACGTAAGTATGCGGGAGGAATTTCAATAGGCCTTATACATACAATGTTGTTCGAGTGTTGTATACCAGCAGTGACAAGTCATACTATTTGTACCCTGATGAAAATTTCTGACATTCAATAATGCTGTTATTTTCCGTGTATAGCTTTATAACGATCGATTTTAAAGAAGTGTGATTTTTTTTGTCAGCGTTGTATTTACAGATGAATGGTGAACTCGTGTATCACGCCTAGCTGCACACTAATGCAGTGACACAGCCTATCGTGCTGCCTGACTATTGAATATCAGAAAAGTTATTAACTCCGAGTCGTATAATGAATGGAAGCAACACAGCGAATGTTTTAATTTTTCCTCTTAGAAATTTTATTCAGTATGGAAATTAATTCCAAATTGCAATCTAGTGGTTTTTCATGATTTAAATGAATATAACAAATAATGATAAAAAACCAACAGGATATTCAGCGATAAGATCTCAGGTGACAAACAGAAAAAAAGTTAAAAATAATATTTATACTGATTATATAACGACATATTCAAAAGTATTCTTTTCAACTTTGATCATATTTCGTCAAAAATACTCGATTTAACGAGTTTTTTTCACGTCTCTAAGGCTTGAAAATAACCATTTTTGATAGATGAATTCCATATTAATATCATTCTATGTGAACAATCAGATGAAGACTGGCTAGTTATATATCTATATACTTATATGACCGATCACACGCTATAACTGTCATTTCCGAGAAAGAAATTTAGAAATAAACGGACATTCGATGCTGGTTGCTGACTCCTCATATTTATGCCACCACCTCGTTACCATCCGTCTCTACATCACTTCCTTGCCATCACTTTGTAACCATTCCGTCTCTACACCACTTCCTTGTCAACACCTTGTAACCATTCCGTCTCTACACCACTTCCTTGCCATCACCTTGTAACCATTCCGTCACCACACCACTTCCTTGTCATCACCTTGTAACCATTCCGTCTCTACATCACTTCCTTGCCATCACCTCGTTACCATTCCGTCTCTACATCACTTCCTTGTTAACACCTTGTTACCATCTTATTACCACATTACCTCCTTGTAATCGCCCCGTTACGCAAACAAACTTCGTTACCACCCCGTCACCAAACCAGCACCTCGTTACTACGAAACCTCCTTTTCAACATCCCAATACACCTCGTTACGACAACACCAAATCGTTACAACACTACGTCTTCGTTAGCGCCTCCTTAACACCCCGTCACAACATCATCCCATCAGCACAGCACCACTTCGTTACACCTCGTCACCACAACATTGCCTCGTTACCACCTCATCACCACAATGCAACCTCGTTACCATGTCGTCATCACAACACCATCCCGTTACCATGTGTCATCACAATACTACCCCGTTACCATGTCGTCATCACAACACCATCCCGTTACCATATCGTCATCACAACACCATCCCGTTGCCATATCGTCATCACAGCACCACTCCGTTACTATGTCGTCATCACAACATCATCCCGTTACCATATCGTCATCACAATACCACCCCGTTACCATGTCGTCATCACAATACCACCCCGTTACCATGTCGTCATCACAATACCACCCCGTTACCATGTCGTCATCACAGCACCATCCCGTTACCATGTCGTCATCGCAACACCACCCCGTTACCATGTCGTCATCATAACACCATCCCGTTACCATGTCGTCATCGCAACACCACCCCGTTACCATGTCGTCATCATAACACCATCCCGTTACCATGTCGTCATCATAACACCATCCCGTTACCATGTCGTCATCGCAACACCACCCCGTTACCATGTCGTCATCATAACACCATCCCGTTACCATGTCGTCATCGCAACATCATCCCGTTACCATGTCGTCATCATAACACCATCCCGTTACCATGTCGTCATCGCAACACCACCCCGTTACCATGTCGTCATCATAACACCATCCCGTTACCATGTCGTCATCATAACACCATCCCGTTACCATGTCGTCATCGCAACACCACCCCGTTACCATGTCGTCATCATAACACCATCCCGTTACCATGTCGTCATCGCAACACCATCCCGTTACCATGTCGTCATCGCAACACCACCCCGTTACCATGTCGTCATCATAACACCATCCCGTTACCATGTCGTCATCATAACACCATCCCGTTACCATGTCGTCATCGCAACACCATCCCGTTACCATGTCGTCATCGCAACACCATCCCGTTACCATGTCGTCATCGCAACACCACCTCTTTCTAATTCTAATTCTTTACCGTACTATGTATACCTGTTTTAATTAAATCCATATCTTCTGCAGTTTTAGTACTCACATGGTCTTAGAAAGAGATTTCCGCTGCTTATTGTAATTTTAAGCGACTTTCTGAGTGACCTGTACATGTCATTCCCAAATCATTTTGTCGTATTTGGGTTTACTGTGCATTGGAAAACGTTGATCCGTTTCGCTTGAATTTTAGCCTCTAATTTGCCAAACTTCACTGTCATTAAAATGTCCATAGTCACTCGTCGACTCTTGACTTTATATTTAGTTCTGGACCTATGATGATGACAAGCAAATATGGCAGAGAATTTGATGTGTCCACTCGACTGAGCTGGCGGCTAGAAAGTGACCATACAGAACGTTTACCTAAGGTAACACGTGTCATGGAACATGCGAACACGCTAGCCAGGCGATGTCGCTGAATACAAAAAATCCTTTATATACTGACGAAATGAGGGAATATCACACGATCCTAGTTCCGTTGTTTTTAGAGTATTTTACTTTGATAAAGTTACAATATTTTGTTTTTTGTCTTTCGTTATAAGCGAAAAGATCAAATACGATATTACAGAAACGACAAGTATATAAATAGGTTATTTTTGTTTGTGTTTTTTCTTGAAGTTATGAACCTTATGTGGAACTAGTAACTTTCATTTGACTAGAATTATAAATGTTTAAGATTAGTAAATCAAAAAAATAACTGGATCTCGGTTGTATACGGTGACAAAGTGGCGATGGTAACGAGGTGGTGATGGATTGGCTATAAGGTGATGGATTGGCGATAAGGTGACGGATTGGTTATGCGGTGACGGATTGGCGATAAGGTGACGGATTTGTTATAAGGTGACAGATTGGCGAAAAGGTGACGGATATGCGATATGGTGACGGATTGGTTACAAGATGACAGATTGGCGATATGGTAACGGATTGGTTACAAGATGACGGATTGGCGATAAGGTGACGGATTGGTTACAATATGACGGATTGGCGATATGGTGACGGATTGGTTTCAAGATGACGGATTGGGGATAAGGTGACGGATTGGCGATATGGTGGTGAATTGGCGATATGATGATGGATTGGCGATAAGGTGATGGATTGTCGATAAGGTGACGGATTGGCGATAAGGTGACGAGGTTCTCAAGATGTGTTATGAAGTGTTGACCACGGTTTTACGAGATGGTAACGAGGAATTTGTGTGGTGAAGAGGTGGTGACGAGGTTTTGCTGCTAGTGCGTTTGTGGTATATACAAAATGAAGTATCTGCGGAAAATCGATCGATACCAGAAATAAACGGCTGGAAGACATCGACTGTGGTCAGGTGACTCCGGGTAGAGTGAAGAAAAAACTATACGTTTGTTCGCTAATATTGGACATTTGGATTATGGAGTTTGTATTTGTTGTCACTAAGCAATAATTCGATCAGATATTGATATTTCAGCGTTGGTGTTATTTATTTTTACATTTTATAGATAAATATAGTACATAATAACAAGACACTGCAATATAAAGGCAGCACTTCGATATCGAATTTCTTCAACATGCCCTTCAGTTATCTGATCAAGGGGATCTTTTTCCGTCGTGATTTCCTTCACTCCTTTGGATAGACCGTAGATAATTGATCAACTGTGTCTCGAAGGGGTTGAGTTCTAACTAGACATTCCGCCACGTTGAATTATTTAAAGGAATATCATTAACAAGTCGACATGGTCGGTCGGTTTAATGTTTAAAGGATTATAAAACCGATAGTTCAAGGAAAATTGGTAAATGAATATCGACAACACAACACTGTACAGAAAGGAATATGTGATTTAAAGAATAAACCACTGTATGGTGCATACTGTCCTATAAGCTATAGAGGCATACTACGTTAAGATTCGCGTCCAGTTTTATTTTCTGATTTAGAATAGCCATTCTTTAATACTAATTGCCAGTTGATTTCAGAAATTATATCATCATTTATAGATATTATTTTTACAACGGTTTCTTAACAGGAAAATATTTAGGAAACGAAACACATAACAGTGACATCACATACAGATTTTACTGACGACAATCCTACAATCAAAACAGGCAGGCTTACTTCAAGATTGTTTGTTTGTGCGTGTGTTTGTTTGTTTATTTGTTTGTGTTTGTTTGTTTGTTTGCTGTGTCTATTGCCCAATCAACAGACAGTGTCTCCTCATAGTAATCAGTGGCTACCTCGCTAAACAACATGCAGGAGGCCCGTCGCATGAAACCAAAAACAACAGGGGTAAAGTATCCTGTTTAAGGGCACAATCACGTGAGCGCAGGCCGGTGATCAGTTTCTCAGAGAAACACAAATCACCACGGGTAGGAACTGTAGAACGGCATACTTTAATCCTCAGCGGTGACACCGAATACAGTAATTATACAAAAGGGACATATACCGAAAACCCTAAACACAACACTGTTTCTCGACATATACCTCAGCTCACTCTTTTTTTCTAAATTTAAATACCAAAATAAAGAACGGAAAGAAAAAAAATGTCCAATCCATTATCATTTGATGGGGTATTTAAAGGTTAAGTACTTCGTTCTTCAGTCTAAGCTAACTGATTCCAAAAGAAAGCAATATTAAAGAATCGACTCTCAACAAATACAGGGAATAGATCTTTCAGCTAGTATCTCTTCCTAGTTCTAACCTCACTTTTGAATCGCCGTACTGTGTAATTCAGACGGTGTATACCTTACTACCGTTCCACGAGTTAGAATTATCCTTAGTTGCCCGAGCTATCGGTATCTGAGGTCGACAGTATACTGAACTATGTCGGTGAGGACTGAAAATCTGTAACCGACCAAACATTATCGTCGACTTCATAATCAAGAAGAAGAAGAAGAAAAAGATGATGATGATGATGATGATGATGATGATGATGATGGAGTATTATTGAATAAAAATAATTAAAAAACAGATTAATGTAAATAGTAACGATATGTCCTTGTATAACACTGACGTTTACTTTGTGTACAGGAACAATTCGAGGTAAATAAAGTCGTTCCTTCATTGAAGTTAACGAAACCCAGCATTCTATCGAGGTCAGACAAGATCGGACGTGTAAACGTTTACCACTTGATGACTGACAGTAACCAGACGTCTGAAAGGTCACCAGACACTAATTCTACACTTGTCATAAATATTGATGTAAGAATTTCCCGACGTCAATGAATAGGTAAAAAGAATCAATGATGTCCTAGTTTCTTTCAACCATTTTATCGTTTTTTTAATCTATTAGAAATTAAATGTAAATTTTCTAACAAAACAAACAAATTGTTAGGACGAGGATAGTAAGACATAATACATATTGTCATATATTTTACACCAAGTTATTTCTATTTTTATTCAACTTTTTGTCTGGAAATTGAAATACATATAGATTATCTAATATCCAGCCAACAAAGTGAAACGGTACATATAATAAATGATATTTCTATTGTCAAACATGAGATTCTTAAATGTAGAATGTTTTTTTTTTTTTTTTTGTAACTTTTTATTTTTTTCTTCAAACAGGATACATTGCAAGACAATAAACATACCACACTTTCTCATTTATATTTTATATCCCATTCAGCTTTTCTTCTTTCAGTCACTCATCATACACCTACATTCATACATCACCTTCACTTCATCTATACAACACTCCCAACTGATATATTAATTATATAGGATATATTCATTCATCCTTCACCTATACTACATTCACTCATATTTCACCTGCACCTCATTTATATAACAAAAACACTCATAAAAGATTGATTCACTTATATTTCATACACTACATTTTCACTAATTCTTCATATATATATCATACACCTATACAAACTCCCCTGAAGGATGTGTTCACTCATTTTTCCACTATGTATACATATTCACTCATCCTTTACCTATACTACACCTATACAAACATTCTTACCTGTTATTATCACTCATACTTCACCCACTCAAAAAACACAGAACAAATACACATAACTACATAAAAGGAATATATCTCAGAAGGAGAAAGAGAGGGAGAGAGAGAGAGAAAGAGAGAGAGAGAGAAATTAAGAGGGAGCTGCCTGGGAATGTATAACCACATACTAGAAACACAAATTTATGATGCAAAGTTATCTCAATTAACTTTTCCCATTTCCTCCATACTTTTTAAAACTCATCCAGTACCAGATTCCCTTTTCCAGTAGCTATGAATTTCTGGACACAATATGTTTCCTTAATTAGATTCTTGAGACCATGAATAGATAATTCCGTTTTTAAACATCTAGAGCTATAGATGTACTGTTTCATTATCAATATTATTGTGTTGTTCACTACAAAATTGATATTGTTCCTATTCAATATTCCAAATAAAAAGGATTCTTTATTATATGCAAAAGGTATTGAAAGACTGTCCACAAGATATTCAAAATTCTGTAAAAATCTTTGTACTTTTTCACATTCCCATAGGGCATGAATAATTGTTTCTGGTTCTGTTCCACACTGGAAACAGGAAGAACTATTTTCTATCCCTATTTTTGATAGGTAAGTGTTAGTAGTTAAAATATGCTGATTTATCCTATATTGTAACCAATGTAATTTGGTATTTTTTGTTACTTTAAAAGGCAATTTGTATATTTGTTTCCATTTTTCGTCACTGTATTCAAACATGGTGTTCCATTTTTGTTGTAGACAATGTATTGTTGTGACATAATAAAAGATAAAAATCTTTTGATCCTTTTTTATTTTTAAAGTAAATCTCAAAAGCCTTTGGTAAATATGGGTATACAACTGGATGACTGGTAATATCTGTGTCAGAAATAAGCTTTTTAACAATATGAATTACCCCCTGATATTCTAAAAAATTAGTTGGCACGCCATATCTGGTTACAAATTCCTGAAAACTATAGAAGACTCCTGAATTAATATCCTTTATCAAATCATTAATTATCATAACCCCTTTGGAGTACCATTTCTTATAAAAAAGCGTCTTGTCCCCCACTCTTATCTTATTGTTATGCCAAAGTGGTGTTTTTAATATTGATGTTGTCTTATTTGAGAAAAGTTCCTCTGTCCGGCTAAGTTCTATGTGAGCTTTAAAGACATCTTTCCAAAACTGATTTTTACATATTTTGAGGTATTCATTTATAAATTGTGGTCCACAACTCATTAACATAGTTATATCGATGTTTGTATTTAACAAAATCTGCCATTTTGCACTTTGTGTTAATAGTCTTCTTACCCATGTTAGCTTCAGAGATCTGACAAAACTTTCCAGATTTAACATCTTAAGTCCTCCTTCTTCATATTTTTTGTAATTACCTCCCTTTTCACTTTATCCCTTCTGCTGTTCCACAAAAAATGGTATATTTCAGTGGTAATGCATTTTAGGAAGCTTTCATTTGGATTTGGTATTGATATAAAAAGATTATTGCATTGTGAAATTAAAAGCGATTTCATAACATGTATTTTCCCAAATGGAGTCAAGGCTCTCCTACTCCAGCTTTTAATAATTGCCTTAAGTTTCACAAGTTTTTTTATCGAAATTCAGTTCTGTGTAGATCAACATGGAAATCAATACCTAATAGGGTAAACTTATGGTCTCCCCATTGTAGATTGAGTTCAGGGTAAAAGACTTCCTGACTATATTTTTTACTTCCAATCCAGATAACTTGGGTTTTACAGGCATTTATTTTCAAACCGGATATTTTAGCAAAATCATTTAATTCACGTAAGGTTTCTTTTAGCGACTTCTTGGAACCGTCTAAAATGATAGTGGTGTCATCTGCATACTGTGATAAAAGAATAGGTGTATTCTCTATTTGAATACCTTTTATATTCTCATTATTTCTCAATCTTATCGCTAAGATTTCTGCACATAAAATGAATAGGTAAGGGGAAACTGGATCCCCTTGTCTACACCCTCTTTTAATCTAAAAAAATGTTGACAAATTCCCCCCTTGATTAATAGAAGAACATGGTTGAGTAAGAAAAAGTTTTATCCAATTTCTAATATCTTCACCAAACTCAAAAAAGTCAAGTACTTTGTCAATAAATTTCCAATCAACCGAATCAAATGCTTTTTCGAAATCAACAACTAATAGAAGACCCGGTATATCATTTTCTTCTGCAAATTGCATTGTATCATAAATGAGCCTGATGTTTTCTCCTATATATCGACCTTCAATGAAACCAGACTGATCTAAATCTATCAATTTATTTAGGACTGTTTTAATTCTATTTGCGATAGAGCCTGATGCTATCTTATGTGTTACATTTAGCAGTGAAATTGGTCTCCAATTTTTTATAAAATGTCTAGGTTTATTTCCTTTTGGTAAACAAGTGATAATTCCTTGGCGTTGAGTTACAGAAAGTTTTTTATTGAAGAAACCATAATTAATTGATCAAACAGCAAAATCACCCAGTTCTTTCCAAAAACATTTAAAAAATTCTACAGAGAAACCATCAGAGCCTGGACTCTTATTATTTTTCATTTTCTTCAATGTTTGAGAAGCCTCACTAATAGTTAGTAAACCTTCTAGACTTTGTGATTCAAATTGATTAAGTTTTGGAATATTCATTTCACTTAAGTCTTGTAAATTCATATCATGAACATTACAACTATCAACTGCATAAAGTTTTTCATAAAAAAGCTTTGTTTCCTTTAAAATATCTTCTTGTTTCCTTACAATTTCTCCATTCTCTTTTTCTATCTGAGGAATTATCTTTGAAGTAAAATTTCTATTCTCAAGGTTAAAAAAATATTTTGATGTCCATTTTGCCTTAGATCTAATAATACTTCCTTTTAGTTTATGCTGTCTAATTTTTCTTAATTCTTCTTTTTTAGAATCTAATAATGTATAATCTATGTTATCACTAGATTCTAGGGTTTCTATTGTTTTTATTAGTTTGTTTTCTGTCTGGTTTTGAAGTTTTTTCTTATATGCAGAGAATGATATGGTTTTTCCTCGAATTTCAAGCAGCAGTGTCTCTAAGAAAAACTGATCATTGATGGTAAATTGAATGTCACTGTTTGGTATTGTCTGAATAGCATCTAGGTTGTATATAGGTAGTGCATACTGCTTCTTGATATCAGTAATGTGTTTGTTGATTATTTGCAGAAAGTCTATATCATGAAGTAAAGAATTATTAAACTTCCATAGTCCTTTTCCTTAAATGTAGAATTTATCATTATATCAGGTCGACTGTGTGATAAGATATACTAATATATTACTGTAAAAACTACAGTGTAATGATATCACAATATTGTCTAAATATCCAATTAAACAAAAACAATCTTAAATAGCCAGATCGAATTAAGTAAACTGATGACGTCCTTACTTTAGATACAGCAGTCATTCCCAGGAAAAAACAGTTATAATTAGAAATAGAAAATAGATTTCTTTCGACCTTCTCACGACAACGTGCACTGCTAATACAATTATTATACTATCCATTAGTTAATCTAATGATCGAATTGAAACAAGAATGATCAAATATTAAAAGATAACTGATTTCGATAAACTGTTTAATTAAAATCATTGATTTGCGAATCTTGTCATAATGCAATACACTGGAAATGATTTTTTATATTTGTTTAGAATGTCTAATTATACCCATGCAGGTGTACCGTTAAGTCAAGAAAGATTGTACAACGATGATTCACAGAAAATTTCAAACGTCAATCACTCGTAAGAGAAAACATGTAAACTAAAATAACAAGATTTTGAAACATTCAAATTGGTTCCAAATTAATGTGTTATGATAAACCTTGTATGATGGCGTGGTACTTACTTGCCTGCCACGGTAGGTCGGGTGATGTATCAGACTCGGTGTTAGCTCGGGTTTCTTTGTAATACCCTGACAGCATCAATATTACAGGTGAGAATACCAACGACTCACCTGTATAGAATGGTGGTAGTATACACACTGGTCTGTGTTTATCCACAAAGCGATATCTCTAACAGCTCAGTTTTACATTATATATGGGCTGTGAAGTCCCCTATACACAGACTGGTAAAATATGTTTTATAAATAAACACAGTTTGCTGATTGTTAATGCATTTCACCCAATCAGAATTCTGTTATGAAGGAGATGGTGTATATTTACCTGTACTGTTTACCTGTAGACAGGTAACGAGTTGTATGTGCCACAGGTATAACGTTTAAATGTCCACGCAACCACTTTCACTGGTCAGAGATAAACAAAGTGAGTCTTTTATGTTCTAACTTATTGGAAACCTGGATTGACACCAGCGATCGGACTTCTGCTCGAGTAAAGCAATATCGACACAAGGAAGGAATTCATGTTTTTAGATAAATTTAATGATTCACTGGTTCGATACATACATCGTTTCAGAAGAAACTTTCTAGATATATTGTGTTTACTGCTTTCCCCGATTTTTCGATATCGTGTAACACGTCTAGATATAGGACATTTCTAGTATATCTTTAAATAACCCTATATCTGTTGACAGGACATTAACACAAAGTCATGACATTCCTAAGATTGTATTCCAATTTGAAATATTCCTTCATCGTTTAGATGAACGGACAGTTTTCATGTGCTGGGAAGAAAACGTGTGAGAGACCAGCATTATTTCAGGAAGGAAACACATATGACTAAACCGAAGTTGATGACGTGTGCAGAAGTCTGTAATCTAGGGAAATAATGCTGTATTTTATAAATCCGAAGTGATAAAATACATGCATTGTATCAGAAGAATCGAACCCTGGATCCGTAAGGAAAAGTTTCGGTAAAAAGTTAAAATACTGCTTAATCCGACGGATTTATTGGTTATGAAATTCACCAGTTATGGAATAGCTATTTCGTGATTCAAAACATAGAATTGTCCTAAAATACGCGCCTTACATCTCAGTTTTTAACATGATTTGACGCAAACGTACATTTTCAATATTGCAAAATGTGGAAACGAAGCAGAAACGAAACGTTACTGAAGTAAACGGAGTCCATTTCGTTTCGCTGAGCTCGTTTTGTTTTATATTTTATCAATACCTCGACATACGTATACTAGAATGCTTTCAAAACGATGCAAATTATAGGTGGTTTTATTCATTATTTTGTTTCTGACAAAAAAATCTCGAAAAAATTACTGATAAACATGAAAATGGATGGACATGAGAATTCACATAACGACAATTAAGTTGTATAATTTTGTGTAATAGATCCATTTTTGATCGGATTGGGACGATACGCTCTGATCATTACGGTCAATACAAATTCAGTTTAAGTGTACCGGAACGAAAACAGAATTAGTGTATTATTGTTCTATGTGATCCAAAATCAACAAGGTTGAAAACCGCATCAAAATCGGTCAAATACCGGAATATTGACAACTTACATAACAACAAGAAGACACAAATTAGCTTACAACGTTTGGTGTAACCTGCATTAAATTCTGGCACATTTCCGAACTTTAAGAAGTCGATTGATACGAAATATCTTTTCAACTTGCTAAAACAATATGTAAGACGGCACTGGGGGATTGTCAGGAAAATAATTAAATAATGTAATGAAATTGTTTTAATTAAGCATCTGTTTGTCCATTCAGACGGCTACTTTTTAAAATGAAATTCAAGTTAAAATATTGTAAAACGGAGGGCAAGGTACATACTTAGTGAGAAGCAAGAATTTGTCTTAAGATTGACTGCTGAGTATGTACCAAAGAAGGGATATGCTACTTCATAAGGGACAAAAATTTAGTGAGGGACCAGTTAGTGTTTACCTAATCAGGGATGTGGTTCTTCGCGAAGGACATGAATATTCCTGGTGAGGGACTAGTGAGGGACTACCTTACAACGGACAGAGAACTTCTCAGGGACAAGAATACACCTCGTGAGGGACTAGTGAGGAACTACCTTACAAGGGACAGGGAACTTTTCAGGGACAAGAAACCACCTCGTGAGGGACTAGTGAGGAACTACCTTACAAGGGACAGGGAACGTTTCAGGGACAAGAATACACCTCGTGAGGGACTAGTGAGGAACTACCTTACAAGGGACAGGGAACGTTTTAGGGACAAGAATATACCTGGTGAGGGACTAGTGAGGAACTACCTTACAAGGGACAGGGAACGTTTTAGGGACAAGAATATACCTGGTGAGGGACTAGTGAGGAACTACCTTACAAAGGACAGAGAACTGCTTAGGGACAAGAATATACCTCGTGAGGGACTAGTGAGGAACTACCTTACAAGGGACAGGGAACGTTTTAGGGACAAGAATACACCTCGTGAGGGACTAGTGAGGAACTACCTTACAAGGGACAGGGAACGTTTTAGGGACAAGAATACACCTCGTGAGGGACTAGTGAGGGACTACCTTACAACGGACAGAGAACTTCTCAGGGACAAGAATATACCTCGTGAGGGACTAGTGAGGAACTACATTACAAGGGACAGGGAACGTTTTAGGGACAAGAACATACCTGGTGAGGGACTAGTGAGGAACTACCTTACAAGGGACAGGGAACGTTTTAGGGACAAGAATACACCTCGTGAGGGACTAGTGAGGAACTACCTTACAAGGGACAGGGAACGTTTTAGGGACAAGAATACACCTCGTGAGGGACTAGTGAGGGACTACCTTACAACGGACAGAGAACTTCTCAGGGACAAGAATATACCTCGTGAGGGACTAGTGAGGAACTACATTACAAGGGACAGGGAACGTTTTAGGGACAAGAATACACCTCGTGAGGGACTAGTGAGGAACTACCTTAAAAGGGACAGTGAACTTCTCAGGGATAAGAATACACCTCGTGAGGGACTAGTGAGGAACTACCTTACAAGGGACAGGGAACTTCTCAGGGATAAGAATATACCTCGTGAGGGACTAGTGAGGAACTACCTTACAAGGGACAGGGAACTTTTCAGGGACAAGAAACCACCTCGTGAGGGACTAGTGAGGAACTACCTTACAAGGGACAGGGAACGTTTCAGGGACAAGAATACACCTCGTGAGGGACTAGTGAGGAACTACCTTACAAGGGACAGGGAACGTTTTAGGGACAAGAATATACCTGGTGAGGGACTAGTGAGGAACTACCTTAGAAAGGACAGAGAACTGCTTAGGGACAAGAATATACCTCGTGAGGGACTAGTGAGGAACTACCTTACAAGGGACAGGGAACGTTTTAGGGACAAGAATACACCTCGTGAGGGACTAGTGAGGAACTACCTTACAAGGGACAGGGAACGTTTTAGGGACAAGAATACACCTCGTGAGGGACTAGTGAGGGACTACCTTACAACGGACAGAGAACTTCTCAGGGACAAGAATATACCTCGTGAGGGACTAGTGAGGAACTACATTACAAGGGACAGGGAACGTTTTAGGGACAAGAATATACCTGGTGAGGGACTAGTGAGGAACTACCTTACAAAGGACAGAGAACTGCTTAGGGACAAGAATATACCTCGTGAGGGACAAGTGAGGGACTACCTTACAAGGGACAGGGAAAGTTTTAGGGACAAGAATATACCTCCTGAGGGACTAGTGAGGAACTACCTTACAAGGGACAGAGCACGTTTTAGGGACAAGAATATATATATATCCAGAAAAGGACTAGCTAATACTTAACAAAATGAGTTAGCAACACCACCACATTTCTGTCAGTCGTTCGTTGACTGGGGGCGCACGGTTGCTCGTGTAACTTGCAGTAATGACTAAGAAAATGTTTTACTTGTTTCCATGAAGTGCAGGAAGCCGTGACTCCTCACAAGTTTATCTCTAATCATCACGGCCATAAGTTAGACAACTACACATACAAACAAGTATTAAGTTCGACAGATAGACAAATTGAATGTAAAACATCGCAGGAATTCTGTTCACTGAGATGTTTATTTGTCAATCGAAATCGATTTTTTGATGAGAACAAATAAACCATGTTTGATTCTGAATGATTCTATATAGGTTAGAGATCGATTGTAAATATCCGCACGATATTCCTCTCAGTCTAATGATAGATACAGAGACGCAAAGTCTGAAACACTTGATTAAAGTACACAAATATATGGGATTTATTTGAAACCGAAAATAAATTCGAATAATGTCAAGTTAATGGAAAGAGTGGTGGCTAAGATATGTTAACTTGTTTCCGGAGACTTGGTCCGATAACGTTTATTTCATTAATCTGACAAATTATCGATATTTTCATGCGCTACTGTTACCAAATGTTGATTTCACCAGGCTTATTTAATCTATGCTTTTGGATGGGAGGACTACAAAGTTTGATACATTCGTAATTAAATCAGAAAAATCCGTTATAACGATATTTGATCCACCGAGATAAATAACGAAGTCGTGACAAAGATAAAAAAAAAACTTCAACTAAACAGACAGAAAAACAAAGCTATGGATGTTATACACAGAAAACTATTGATGATAAAATATTCACTGGCAAGGTTGAACCGTGATCAACACTGTCATGTACATCACCTAGATGATTCTACTCCATCGTATAAAGTGTTGTAAATATTGTACAAGTGTTACGACTAACGTTCTGGTCAAAGTTCTTTCAGGAAATTTAAAATGAATACTAAAACAAACAATACGTGTTTTCTGTAATACCTTTTAAAGAATGACTACACAAACATCTTACTATGCATGCTGGTCGTAAGTTGGACAGCGTTTTACTGGCGATTTCATTGGACACAGCGAATAGACAGTGTATTAATATACTTGGTTAGCCAAAGCGAGTTATTTCCCTTGGGTAAGAAATAAGGGTGATCACATACCCTGGTTTATTGTAATATGTTTCAGACCATATTAATTTCACTTAGTTTAAACATAGTTTATTGTCAAGTGTAAGAGCAAAAGGATTAGACACAAGTTATTTCAACTTACGAGGTCTTCTCTTTATAGTTAAATGTACATTAAGAAAACAACACGTGATGGCATATAAATATACAAATCAAAGTGCATGATTAACATATAGTACAATGTATATATACATGGTTCCCACTAGTATGAAATTTACCCGAATCTATCAGATCGCTCAATATATTGCTGTACAGCGTTGCATACTCCTATATTTTTTAAATTGTCAATATCGGGAGAGCCATATAGTAGTAAGTCAAGACTGGGGGCAAGGTGCATATCAACTACTTGGATTTCGTAAAGCATGAGGTTCCTCAGGGGGTCAAAGTTCGGACAGTGCAGCAAGAAGTGGTCAGCATCCTCACAGGGACTACCACATGAACATGAGGGTTCTATGTGTAAGTTTGCTCGGTAAAGATCGTAGTTAAATGTACTTTCTCTGTTGCGGAGTCGACAGTGAAGTGTGTTTATGTGACGTTTTCCGTGCGTTCTAAAGGATGACGGTATGGTTGTGGGTGAGTGTTTTGCCGATTTGAAAGATTTCAGAGTGTCCGAGTTCCTTGTGTCTGGTTGTAGTTTGTTCCAAAGTTTGCAAGAATGTGGTATAAATGAGGTGTTCATGGATTGAAGTCTGTATCTTGGAATGTAGATATTGTCGTGGTTTCGTGTTTGATATCGTGGTTCAACTGGTTGATTGGGTATTAGGTTGTTAAGAAATGACGGTGTTAGATTGTTTTTGCATCGGTAAAATAGTGTAAGTTTTTTTCGTAGCGTCGTTGTTTTAGTGTGACCCAGCCTGTTTCTGAATAAATGTCTAATTTAGTGTAAAGTGGTAGTCCTGTGACAATCCTGGCCGCCTGGAGCTGCACTCTTTCCAATCTGTCTTCGTTTGTTGCACCGCTATTGTCCCATACTTCTGAAGCATATTCCAGGAGAGGTCTGATGATAGTAAAGTTTCTTTAAATTTCGTCTCGAAAGAATATACTTGAGTTTACGTAATATTGCTAATTGCTTAGATGCAGAGTTTATTATGTTTTCGATATGGGCATTCCATTTACAGTCACTACCAAATGTCAGTCCGAGATGTTTATGTCTGTCAGTCACATGTATTGAATTTGAAATCTGGTGTGCTTGGTAAGGTACGGTTAGAAAACATTCCACTGAGTGTTCTCCTAAAGGAAACCGGAAATTAAATATTGTTAAATTTTGCAAAGGATAAATAATTTTGTAGATGTACTTCAACTGAAAACTTCAACTGGCTAGAAAGTACTCCATGACCAGTATGTAAGAAAGATACCTTCTTTTTAGTTGTCAATCAATAGCCTACTGCATTATCAGAACGTGCGAAAAATTATATAGAATCAAGAAATAACACCGATAACAAAGATTATATAATGAGACTTCCACGGTTATCAACTTAAAAAGTATGCTGGGAAAAATAGTATCACTAAAACAGATATGATATACCATTCTTATGTAAACACTAGAACAGATATGGTATACCATTCTTATATAAAATAAATACACTACAACAGATATGGTATACCATTCTTATGTTAAATAAATACACTACAACAGATATGGTATACCATTCTTATGTTAAATAAATACACTACAACAGATATGGTATACCATTCTTATGTTAAATAAATACACTACAATGGATATGGTATACCATTCTTATGTTAAATAAATACACTACAACAGATATGATATACCATTCTTATATAAAATAAATACAGATATATGATATACCATTCTTATATAAAATAAATACACTACAACAGATATGGTATACCATTCTTATGTAAATACCACAACAGATATGGTATACCATTCTTATATAAAATAAATACACTACAACAGATATGATATACCATTCTTATATAAAATAAATACACTACAACAGATATGATATACCATTCTTATATAAAATAAATACACTACAACAGATATGATATACCATTCTTATATAAAATAAATACACTACAACAGATATGATAGACCATTCTAATGTTAAATAAATACACTACAATGGATATGGTATACCATTCTTATGTAAAATAAATACACTACAACAGATATGATATACCATTCGTATATAAAATAAATACACTACAATAGATATGATATACCATTCTTATGTAAAAATAAATACACTACAACAGATATGATATACCATTCTTATGTAAAATAAATACACTACAAAAGATATGGTATACCATTCTTATGTAAAAATAAATACACTACAACAGATATGATATACCATTCTTATGTAAACACAACAACAGATATGATATACCATTCTTATATAAAATAAATACACTACAACAGATATGGTATACCATTCTTATGTAAAATAAATACACTACAATAGATATGGTATACCATTCTTATGTAAACACCACAACAGATATGATAAACCATTCTCATATAAAATAAATACACTACAACAGATATGGTATACCATTCTTATGTAAATACCACAACAGATATGGTATACCATTCTTATATAAAATAAATACACTACAACAGATATGATATACCATTCTTATATAAAATAAATACACTACAACAGATATGGTATACCATTCTTATATAAAATAAATACACTACAACAGATATGGTATACCATTCTTATGTAAAAATAAATACACTACAACAGATATGATATACCATTCTTATGTTAAATAAATACACTACAACAGATATGATATACCATTCTTATGTAAACACCACAACAGATATGATATACCATTCTTATGTAAACACAACAACAGATATGATATACCATTCTTATATAAAATAAATACACTACAACAGATATGGTATACCATTCTTATGTAAAATAAATACACTACAATAGATATGGTATACCATTCTTATGTAAACACCACAACAGATATGATATACCATTCTCATATAAAATAAATACACTACAACAGATATGGTATACCATTCTTATGTAAATACCACAACAGATATGGTATACCATTCTTATATAAAATAAATACACTACAACAGATATGATATACCATTCTTATATAAAATAAATACACTACAACAGATATGGTATACCATTCTTATATAAAATAAATACACTACAACAGATATGGTATACCATTCTTATGTTAAATAAATACACTACAACAGATATGGTATACCATTCTTATGTTAAATAAATACACTACAATGGATATGGTATACCATTCTTATGTTAAATAAATACACTACAACAGATATGATATACCATTCTTATATAAAATAAATACACTACAACAGATATATGATATACTATTCTTATATCAAATAAATACACTACAACATATATGATATACCATTCTTATGTAAACACTACAACAGCTATGATATACCATTCTTATATAAAATAAATACACTACAACAGATATGGTATACCATTCTTATGTAAAATAAATACACTACAACATATATGGTATACCATTCTTATGTAAAAATAAATACACTACAACAGATATGATATACCATTCTTATGTTAAATAAATACACTACAACAGATATGATATACCATTCTTATGTAAACACCACAACAGATATGATATACCATTCTTATATAAAATAAATACACTACAACAGATATGGTATACTATTCTTATATGAAATAAATACACTACAACAGATATGATATACCATTCTCATGTAAAATAAATACACTACAACAGATATGGTATACCACCATTCTTATATAAAATAGATACACTACAACAGATATGATATACCAT